CAAGATTAAAATATCGCCTGGAAAATGTTCTACTGCATTGTTGTTCTGATTTGGGAATGTTTATTATGGTTAATATGTTTATTAAAACACATAGTTAGAAGTGTATACAAACAGAATTTATCGGAAACAGAGTTGAAAGCAAAATGTAAGGGATAAAAAAAAGGAGCTCAAGTCATTTGGCAATGATTTCATTAGACAAAGTATTTGAGGAGATAGCCAGTAGCCAGACAGGGAAAGAAGACTGGGATTAAATGGATTTTAATTCCCCTACAGATCAGCTCTGCGCTCAAAGCTGACTTTGCACTGTCATTCATCTGCCCAGAGGTGGAAGACAGGGAGCAACAGGGAAAAGCTACAGAGAGAGACTAGCAGACATGGACAAAAAAAGAATGACATACCCCCAGCAATAACACAGCATTCGCCCTGCATGTCTCCCTTTGATAGCTGAAATGCAGGTCCTTGTCATGCAAAGCAGCTGGTATTCAACAGGACTTTAGTGTGTGTGTGTATCTGTTTGCGTGGCTGTGTGCCAGTCTTTTGTGGTTTTAAAGGAGTATCTCTGTATCCATTGAGTCTGTTTAGATCAATGTGTCAGAGTGTGTCTTCCATTGGACAGCTGGAGACAAAACCAAAATGCTTAAGCTTTAAAACTTCACCCACAGAGATGAACAACAACACTAAAATCATTAATAATATCTGCCTTCAGCTCACAGTGCTGTAAAATGTTCTCTACCATACTGAACCATTAGCATCGAAATAGTATTTGTCTACACAATATACAGGGTATATGTTAGCAGACAACCTCAACCAGATTCAGACTGCTAAAAAGATCACACCAAAAGCCTTTTCACTAATGAAATACACTCTCTCTTCCTATTTCTGACATATTATTGCAAGAACAACGATGAAATGGTGTTAGTTCAAACATTAGTTGATGAATCAATTAGTCAAACAACAGAAATGTTTTCTTCCTCAATTCTTCCTCACAAAACATTTACAACGCTAATCTTTTTTACATTTAAAACCTGCATTGTTGACATTCATGTTTGCTAACTAGCATGCTTCTTCTTACCCTCCTTTTGCCTTTGCATTGTTTCTTGGTGTTACCACCAACTGTTGTTCAATGAAATAGTATAAAACCACACGTAGAATTTAACTAAATACTTAGGCCTAGATTCTGAAATGGGTCATTCCGCATAATGAGTACATTTAATTTTAGTGCTTTAAATATATTTTGATGCTTGATGAATAGTTTTGTACTTTAAGGTGGGGTATGTGTTTCTGTAGAAATCCAACACCATGACAAATAGCATGATGTAAAGTGACTAACAACACAGCAAGTAATATAAGTAATGTTAGCTAAGTTGTGCAAGCATATCCCACCTTTAAGTATACTTTTACTTAATGAAATGATCTAAAAACTTCTACGACCACTGTGTGCAACTATTGACAACAATCTTTGTCACATCACCTGCTCAAACAAAGTGGCACCCCGCTCATCAAACTGCTCCATAGCATTGCAGGTGCTCCAAAACACGGACAACTACTTTTACGTAAACTAGATATGCAAAGGGAAAGACATTGTACAACTGCCTTATATGTGTTAAAGGCCTAAAGTCTAACATACACTGTGGCGTAATAAAATTCAGAAAAACATCATGTTTTCCTGACAGTCAACAAGAAGCAGAGCAACATTTTATTACTTGCGGTGACACAGTGAAAACATGGCCCACACACACAGACGCACATCCTTGATCTTACAGAGATGACTGTGAAACACAAGAGTAAATACTATGACACACTCACACAAACACAAATAAACAGAAAAGGTGAGAAAAAAAAGCAGATATTAGCCTGCTACTTAACATCCAGCATGCATGTGTGTCTGTGTGTGGAAGTGGAACTTATCAGTACAACATAACGTGTTCAGTTTTAGAAAACTGTGAGAAATAAAAGCAACTAAAAGGGACAGATTTATAATGCATCCATGAGTGTGTGTGTGTGTGTGTGTGTGTGTACACGTGGACTTTTCCATTTACAATTACTCTGCAGGCTGCACATCTTACTAAGCAGATTTTTGATGAAAGTGCAATGCTCAGAACTGTTCTTCTGCCATTCCCATTACACACCACTCTCAAAGATGAATGAAACAACCACACATACACACACAAACACGCAAACACACACACACACACACACACACACACACACACACAGAGGAGCATCCCGGCTCTGTGCTGGCAGTTTCACTACCCTCCAGTTAGGAAGTGGCTCTTTATCACTTCTCTCACAGTCCTCCCTCCTTTGCAGCAGACCTGAGAAATGGCTAAAACTGTTAACAAATCAGTCTGGCCCTCTGCTCTCAAAAGATTTATAGAAAGGCTCTGGACGATTTGTGAAGCCAAACTGGGTGCTTTGGTCAACTGTACACTTGGGAACTGGCACTGACATCAGTGTCTGGGGATTATAACAGGGGAATGATTCTTCTATAACATTCCCAATTTGATAGCATAATAATTTATATTATCATTGCGCAATTTCAAATTCATCCATAAAAGACCTAAGGTAAAATTCCATTAATCTGAAAAAGGGAAGAGGCTGACACATCTTTCCTTGAAGTTGCCTGCCTTGGTGCCTATTACTGCTTTTGCTGGCAACAAAGCTTCCAACATCCAACAACCAAAAAGTAAAGAATAAAAATAGCAGAGGGGAATGTAACACGTTTTACATTTTGTTTTCAGAAATGTCAGAAACTCCCATGCTGGTCTCATGAAAACTAATTCATTGTCACATGTGAATCCAACTAAACTTAACTAGATTACACAAATAAGCATCATCAAGTTACAAGACATTGATAAGTATTAAGAGGGCCAAATAGTATTTATAAGCCCACATTCCTAAAAGCACAGCTGACAATGTTTCTTCAGGAAGTGTTCAATTACACTGTGGAGAGGACTATTTCCTCTTCAGGACTCTCCAGACTTCTAATGTGCATCTGGGCTGCCAGCATCATGGGTTTGTGTTGCTACAACGCTAGAGTGAAATATGAGTCTATTTCTAACATGTGACCACCAGACTGATAATGTGTTTTGGATGTTTGAATGAAACCGATGTGTTTTCGAAAAACTCTCTAAGAAGACAGTTTGCTTTGTTTGGAGAGTTTGGTGGCGATGCGTGTGCTCTGTGTCACAACCACAGGAATGTATGACATACATGTTCGCAGAAGGGGGGAAAAAACAACTGTAGAGTAGTGCAATATTGCTACAGACCTCCACTGTTTGGAGGAGGCCAGGATCTATATAAACAAAAAATAACGAGATATTTGTTTAATGGAACAGCTTAACCGCTGCTCTATAGGAAATCAAAAGAAAACATTCAAATGCAGTTTGTAAGCTTCTGAAGACTACTTGGACTGTGATTTCGCCTGTTTACTTGCCAAGAGTTAGATGAGAAGGTCGATACCACCCTGTCTCCGCTGGTTGCCTGGCAACTTCACGGGGATGACAAGACTCCAGGAAGTCACTACATCAGGCCAAGAACCCCCGCCCCATAAAATCACAAAAATCACAACCTGTTTTTGCTGGCATATGTTCTGTTCTGGCATATATTAAACAAACAAGATATATGGAGTTCATTAGTGAGCCCTAGAGATGGTGGTACACAGATTTGATCAACAGCTCTGTTTCCATTTTTTATGCTAAGCAGGTTTAAGCTTCATATTTACCATACAGACATGAGAGTAGTATTGATCTTCTCATCTAACTTAACAAAAGAAAGAGTGGAAAAGTGGATTTCCTAAAATCATCAAATTATTAATCCATAATCTATATGACCAACATATCTTTTTCTTTATTATTTGCTTTATTAACATTACTTAACACGTAATAATATGATAAACAAATTAAGTAAGAAATTATTAAAAAACATTGGTTAGTGAGATTACTGGAGGCCTAAAAACTGCTATAGGTGCCAAGAGACATCTTATAATTGGGCAGTCCTGAAGGGTACATTCAATGGCTAATGTCACAGGAAGCAGATCCAAAGGAGAAATTTAAAATTCTTGGAATATTTCTACCACTGCTCAAAAAAGGAAGCTTTTATAAACATTTTATGAAAAAAAACGTTTTTTTAGATTTGCAGTCAGAATTAGACTGATAAATCACCCGGGCTTATACTATCAGCCAATATTTGCTTATTGTAGACATATCGTTATTGGTGTATATTTTGGCCAATAAATAACAAGAAATTGCTGTACAGTAACTAAGTTTGAGTAAATTTAGAAACAGTCACCATTACAGAATTTGTGCGCCAGAGGGCATTGACAAGGTGATTTTTCAACTGTAGGCTCAATAGGCCTACTTAGCCTACTGGTTACAATTATTTAAAAAAAATCTAGGGATCAAGATTGTTTGTTTATGGTCTGTATTTATGGTACAAAAAATACTATCTGCTTATATATCATTACCTCAGTGCACACAGCAGGTACATCAGCAGGAGGAGGGGCTTGAGGATGTCTCATTGGTAAATAGAAGTTAACCATGTTCCATCACCAGCAGATATTCAATGATTATTTTACACATGTTTTGCACATTAACTAACGTTTTGGTCTTTAATAACATTTGGTAGACATGGTTAACAAGAAAAGGCTTTTTAAACATTTTTTACAATACAAATTATTATTCTTAATGTTATTTGGTAGGCTACTGTATTGTATTTCATTCATTAATTCACACTTCCATGAGTTGTACAACTATAGTCTATGACTGTGCTGCAGTTTTCAACCATCCTTGACTCATGATAAACTGATCTGCTGATAAATGTTTCAACATACACATCAACATTGTCCATTGGAGCAGGAGTGAGCCATCAATATATCTCAATACTGTGGCTTAGTTTAATGCCACATCCTGGAAAACAAGTCTGTCACACGTCTAACACTCTGTTACCACGCGCGCACACACACGCACACACACACACACAGTCGGCAAAAGCACTCTTACCATCTCCAGCTTCAATTTCCTTATCTTTTCATCCAAACTCTTCGTCCCCGTCTCCTTACTGGTGTCGTGCGCTGTGGTCAGCTTGGCGTCTCCCCGGAGAGAGGACGCATCTTCCCGCATCCACCTGAGCAAACCCTCTGGGGTCTTCCGGCCAATTTTCACCTCTATGTCTTTCAGATCTGGGATGGTCTCGCTGGCAGTGCCTTCATCCATCGTGTACGTGTGTGTAAAGTAAAAAAGATCCGCAGGATAAATACTACGTCCTTTTCGTTTCTTGGAAATTGCTGCTAGAGTCACTCCCTATGGGATTGTATGGCATCCTATGCGATTCCAGCTGAGTTAGACTGCGCCAGTAGAGAAGAACATTCCGACACAACAGCAGAATAATGCTTAAAGGAATTCTTATTTCAGCTGTAAAATCATCTGGTGTCAAATTGATGAAGCCCGTATTTCTAAACTGAAAGCGAAAAAACAATCTTCTAATTTGCTGTTAATTTCCCGTGGCTTAATGTTGACTGGTTCCTCCACAGTCTGGTCTCAGGAGTCCGGAGTCGGGCGTGTGGTCGCTGTAGGCCCGTGGAGGCTGGTGTGTTTTGCTGGAGATCCCTTGAGCTACATTGCGCAGATTCCACCTGCATGATGACAGCGACCAGCAGCCGCAGAGCGCGAGTGGAGACCCCAGACTGTCATTATCCTACCATGACATCATATCGCTTCCGCTGTGATTTCCAAAATAAAACACGCGCAAGGGAACACGTTGGATTTGAGTATTGGGAACTACCAAAATAGAAATAACTGTTCCAATAGAAATAACTGTTTCAATTGAGCAGTGAAAAGCTAAAGGACAACTAGGCTACAACAATATAAAAATACTCCTTTACAGGTAAAAGTCCTACATTCAAGTATTATCAGCAAGATTGATACTGATACGCTATGCTGCATCAATTATAAGTAACAACAAGCAGCGACAATCATAACAGAGTTATCAATTTTTTAGATAAAGGCTACCTAAATAAATCTAATGCAATATCCTGCATATGAAGCTTAATTTAAGCTCTTAGTGTACAATGCAAAAAGTAACTGCTAATCCTTTTAATGGCCATGATTGTTTGTAATTAATAGTTGTTGTAATGAAGTCTCAAAATTGGTGTATCAATGACGTAGGCTACTCACAGATTTGCCAGGCTTGATCTATTATACACACGTCAAACAACATGCCTATTAAAACACTATGTCATCAGCTCAGGTGGATAAGTAAAGGTTTTCAGAATCAGGTCTATGATTAGACCATCAAATAAACTGTCTGCATACATATATTACAAAATAAAACACACACACAGAGACACATGTGTAAACCCTTTCTACGCATAATCTCTTAATGTACATCAGTTTTACACCTTGTTTATGTATCAATCCATTACATACTGTCATCTGGAATAGCAATATGAGTTGCAGCTGATTTCAGATAATTTCCCTGAGAAGCTGTTTAGATGCAGCAGAGTCCCTGTGGGGTGGGATGGATTTTAATTCTAAGGGAGTCTAATCAGTGTAATGATGAACGACAGATGTCTGTGTTACTTAAGACTAACGCATTACTCTCGATGCACTTACATACACTAACACCCAGTGGCTCTACATGACAACCTTCTCCCAGCCTACACAGACTCAGTCCAGGCACACTTTTCCTCAACAGGTCTGTAAGTCCTCATCTGGAACCATGAGCACTGTGGCTGTAATAATACATCATGTTAAATCTCCTGGTTATGAGACTGGGTGGCTGACGTATTGTATTGGCAATGGTTTGGGGCAATAGAGATTAAATGCAGCTGTCAATGGAAATATACGTGATCAGTTAGAAAATTCAATAAGGTTTTTGGGAATCAGAATATTCCCTAGACATTTTCCTTGTGACTTGGGAGGGAACACATTTAAAATTTGCACTCAAATCAATATCTGGAAATTGTTTTATCCACAAGTTCTAACTCAGAAGGACACATGGCTAACAAGGTCTTTAAACTCCCTAGGATTTTGTCCAGGATGGAACAGAATTATGAAACCTTTTGAAAACCAGGTTAAACTAATTGAAAATATCCTGAATGTCATTAGTCATCATTTCTGGTAAATTTGCTCTGTTTAGAAAATGTTGAATGCTTAATGTATATGTCTATTACTCACAGAGACTGCACAAAGAGACATTCAGTGGTGTAATCTGCAGTCACAGAAGGCCTCTGGAGAGCTGAAGAGCTGCTTTTCACTGTGAACACTCACTCAAGGTGCCAGAGAGCGGCTGACTAAGAATGGAAATACAGTCGTAGTCAATAGTGATGAAGTGGCTTAGAAAAGCAAAGGATTTTCAGCTACAGAATAAGCTCTAATTAAATGTCCCCGTGTGTCTCAGGGGAATAAGGGATAAAGGGGGAGTCTCAGTAAAAAGGGGGGTCAACATCTGCATTAAATAACAATACATTGCAAGATTCAGGATCTGAGGTGGACTAGGGCACTCTTTCTGATATGGCATGAGAGCTACTGAGCCTGGAAACGAGAGTGAGGTTACTTCTCTTCACTTTGAGAATATACAGTATGATACTGAATCAATAAATCCCTCCAGTAATGCTTTGGACCAGTGTTACAAATAGATAGTGAAGGTGTAACAAAGGTATTAATAACTCAGAAGTGCTCAGTTTAGACGGAGGGGATAAGAAGATACAACGTTTGGATTAATAAGGCTTTCCTGTGATCCTATGATCCTTTGTATTCAGTGTCACATCTTGTGAGGGGCCCCAAACGTCCCGGCTATTCTCCTGTCAATGTAAATGTAAAATCTCTTCAGAGAAGGATTTCAAATAACTTTGATGCTGCCAGCTTGCCATCTATGCTCTTGTTCATAATGTTCACAATATACCAGGCAACCTTTCCATTCTCATCTATTCATATCAGTATATCAATTACATACTGCTCTTTGTGCCACAATTAAGACAGACACCAAAACCATTAAGTAGGTTAACATGGGGTTAGTATGACTGCAAAAGGACCTTCATCAGTAAGTAGGACACATATCCTAATCCCACTTTACAGGGGAGTACTGCTAAACCTACAGGGATTATTAGGGGTCAACATCCTTCCCATAATACCTTTGTTTTGTCTCTTGGTTGCTGGGATGTAAAATCTCTCATCTAAATTTGAGCCCTTCTGAGCAAAACACTGTTTAAATCCTATCTTTGACTTGGAGGGTGCACAGCCAAACAAACAAGCATCTGTAATCATTATGTTACCATGCAATCAGCCTGGTATCCATAATGGCTACCATGGCAACGGTTGTTGAGAGGAGAAGATTTTCAGATTTCTGTACACCCACATGGTACAAATGGAAAAGGCTGCCCACAAGGAGGCAAATCTGCAGTACTAAATACACATTATGCAACACAATCTGATGGTAACTCTGTCTCTGTGCTTCAGGGGCAGCATAGGTGTTTCAGCACTGTTCAAATATTACTGAGGCATTTGTGTGTGGGCTGGCATGTTCTCTCCATATCTGTGTCGGTTTGCTCCCAAACGACCCCATCAAAAACATTCATGTTTGATATTATAAATATGCTCCTCTCACTGACCTGTGTGCTCTGTGAGCCGATGATCCATCGCCACAAGCTATGTTCTCTTCATGCAAACTGCTCCCAAAATTTCTAGCTGCTGTTTTCTCCCGAACTGTTACTGGCCTACTCCATCTTTGAATTTGATTCATGTAACATCATCATATCCCTCCAACCTGTGTTCTTTGTACTAAGGACTGTGACGAACAACAGTTGTCCCCCTCCACCAAATGTGTTTAGGTAATTTTTACTTCATTTTGATATTTGACCTTCACTGTGCAACATGATGTACAATATGTGCAGACTTTAACACACACGTTCATCTGCTGACAAGGGAAAGTTTCTCTGCCCTGAACTTAAATATCAGTTTAAGAACTCTTAACTTTTTGAACATGTTTTATATTGGTCTCATTAAATCTAAGTAGCACTTCCTATAACCCTACTGGACGTTTTTTTAATTGATTTGTTCCCACCTATGGCTATTATTGCTACCCAGCTGTCAGAGGAGAGCAGATCTCTCTTTGAATTATCTCTCCAAAGGTCTCTTAAGAGTTTTCCCATGTCTTCTTTGAGAGCTTAGACTTGCTTGGGAAATACTTTGATGTGGGTCAGCAAAGCCCATTGATACACTGCATGTGATAGTGGACTTCCAACACTAAACACCCTTTCTGTTTTATTCCACTGTCAGTATTTTCTATCATAGTGAAAGTTTACCCTCTGGTGGAAGAGGTTGGATTTGTATGCAAAATTATTCAAAAACAAAAATGTGCTTATCTTATCTTGTAAGATAGTATTGTGACATGAAGGACAATGAGGATTCACATTCATGCTTGCTTTTGTTGAACTCTTTGCAGAGTATCTGCATATCTCCTCTAGGGGTTTACATGCCATCATACAGTTGCATGTTTATCTTTTGAAAACTAACCCATTTTTGTTACATCTAACTGATCTTGAATTTTTGTTGAAGTAAAGGTAATTTAAAGTAGTAACATAATAGAATATTTCATTAAGTTTCCTTTAGTTTTTCCTGATGGTTCACATTCTTCTTGGCTAAAGCTGACTCAGGCAAGGGCAAAGGGGGTTATTTAAAACATTCTCCAAAACAAGGCTTCAAAATGGACTTTGAGGGATGTCAGTTGATTTTTGTGTTAAAGAGGCAAATACGAAAAAAAGAGTCAGAGAAAAACCAAAACAACTCAAAGTCATACAAACTCCAACAAAAAGAAAAATCCACAAATATGTGTGTGGTAAAAATATGTATCCATAGTTGTACACCATGTCCCCCTTACATTCTATTCCACTCCCTAGTCACTCCCAAGCCTAACCTGTTCAACCTGTCTGGACCAGGATGAACAGAGTGGGTGGGTGAACTTTGTCACTGTAGCTTGACTGTAACTGTAGGCTGACAAGGACGGTATTTTCTTTGGAAGGATCTTAGGTCAAAATATATAAAAGCTGATTTTTTAAAATCATATTTCTTAAAGTTTCAGTATAGGTGGAGCAGGAGAAGCAGGAGGCCATGGAGTCAGACAGCACAGATGACATTCAGTCTCTCATGGAGGACATGGACTACATTCCTGGCCACTTTCACCTGGACCTCAACCTCAACTGTGATCCTGTTGGGCCTGTGAAGCTAAGACTCAGGGACACTTATCTAAAACAGGAGAGCCTGCGAGGCGAACTAGAGGCTGAAGCTGGATATCTACAGTACGCTGTCCGAAATCTGCTGGGTCTGCTGGCTTTCCACCTCGAAGAGTTGGACAGGGCCGAGGAAATATTCAGGTGGTGACACACTTTTACACACTTCCTTTAAAGGCACAACATTCACTAAGCAAGAGGCCTCATTTTGAGACATCTTGACTAGTAATGTGTGTTTTTCTGTAGCACTCCTTATAATCGAAACACCACACAGGTTGAAACATGTTTTACTACATATACCTAATCTCTGTGAGTTAACTAAGAACCACCACAGTGAATGCCTACACACCAGAAGAAAAGGTAAGTGTCCTTTTACCAGCTACAGTAAAACATCAACCAAAATCAAGACCAACATGTCAATTCACAGTAATCTCAAATGCATAACAAACATACAGTTAACATGACTACACACCAATGGTTTGTTTGGATAAGATAAATATAATTAACAAGTAATATCAACAAATGTATGGATTGCTCCAGTAATATTTTATTTATCTTTATTTCATATTGCTAACTCTGCTTTCTACAGATGTAAGACTTTACCCCAATTACACTCATAATAAAGAGTATTTTCTGTGAGGTGACAGTGCTAACCACCGCACCACCATGCCGCCGGGACCATGAACGTCTTTTCCAAATTTCGGGCAATCCAATATTGAATTTTGTGTCTAATAATATACAGTATTTTTGTCAAAATAAGAAAGAAACATCATGGAATATTTTTAATTTACTTCCAATGTTTGAGACCTGTATATTTTTCTAACCCCAAAATCTCTGTGTATTTTGGCCTTTCAGAAGCATTTGTAAGGAAGACCCTGGTAACCTCAATGCCTGGGCCAACCTGGGCTACGTGTATGACAAGCTGAAGAGAGAGCTGGATGCAGGGGAGTGTGTGGAGAAAGTGTCCCAGTTTATGGGCTTAAATGCTGGAGAAGCTTCTCAGGAAGAGACCAGGCTCCTGGCGGCTCGCTGTCTGGCTGAGCAGGCCTATGTGCATCCCCATGATGTGGAGCTGGATAGTGAGGATGACCTGAGGGAGAGACTGACAGCAGCATTGACACTTTACAACAGAGCCCTGGACTATGGGGGTCAGCTGGTAAGATGGAAACAAACTCTGTACTACATTACACGTCCATTCAACAGTTTAGGATTTATATGTTGAATCTAAAGGTGAGGAGAAGCACTGAAACAATGACTGGTTATGTGATGAGATGACATGCATCATAGCCTTCCAGCATTTTAGTGGTTGGTATTTCAACCATGCAGCGTTTCTTAGAAATTTTTTAATTCAATGCCATGCTTCTATGACTGATTTCACCTCCAAACTGTTACCGAAATTAGAGGATGTGGTAATGCTTAGGAGATTTATGAATATGAATCTTAGCTCATAATAACATAAAACTAATATTCCTCCAAAATAAAGTTGAGCCAATTTTTATTCTTATTGTACACAATACCAAATTTGGCACAGCACAGAAGCTGCACGTAGTATTAGACAATGCTACTGGGCATGTACCTTTAGACTTAAATATTTAATCCTGCACAGTAAATGTAATATTATTCCTAACTAAATACTATTAGTAAAGCATGCTGTTGTTTTTCAGATACCAATGGAGGAAAAACGAAGCTGGTATTTCAAAATGGCAGTCATCTATATAAGGTACACAACATTGCATCAAAAGATAACCACTGCACCACTTAATGTGTAAATATTAATTTTTATGAAGTAATTTTCTCCCTGCAGACTGGATGACATAGTAAAGAGCAAAGAGGAATCCGAATACTCCAGACTCTCTCACTACAATAAGGGACTGACGCTTCTCAAAAAAACGCTAGAATCTGAGAAAACACATCACAAAGGTAAAAGAGATATGTTTCTATATGAATTCATCTGGTCTGCTGCACATTTTGAGCCATTATCTTGAATGTGCAGTGTAGCTCTGCTAGTGATATTTATTTAGAACCTGGTCAACACCCTAACTGATTTCTCCTCTTAGCTCTAGCCTGGTGTTATGTTGGCATCATGTTGGAGAGGAAGGAAGAGTTCATCACTGTGCCCATGTCTATACATGACTGTGGCTTCTCAGCCTCTGATCCTCTATCCTGCTATGGAACTGTAAGTTAACCCTCACATTTAGCTCTCTCACTAAATGTCATGCAATCTAAGAGAAAAAAAACATGTGAGGGATATTTTACTTAGACCTGTTGTAGAAGTTGTTAAATCAGATAAACCTTTTCCTCTTCTTAAGATCTGTGGCTCATCAAAAACTGCTTATATTCCTGTCATTTTTCTTTGAATGTTCTGCTACTTGTTAATTTCAGCTGAACATTCTGTCGCTAGTAGCAGCTTCTACTGGCACATTTCCATAACAGTTTAACTGACACTACTACACCCACCTTACCGGCCTCACACTCCAGTTTTTCCCGTATGTAAAGTCCCGGCACCTTCAAAAATCTAAATACACCTGCAAATTTAAGTAGAGTTTGACTGAACAGTTTTGGGAACTTAGTGTCGTTCTTCCACTGGTGATTTTTCCTGGCTTGAGGGGAAAACTAGTCTAATATGACAGTTAGCTTACTCTTTCGTGAATCCAGTTGTCTTGTCTCATATCTACTGTAGCCTACTAACATCAATGCATTTCTTTTTCTGATTTGTAGTCACTATCATTAGATTTTTGATGTTTTATTGAATGCTAATTTTAGAGTCTCTCACTTCAGGGGTTAACTCCTCTCTTCAACCTTTTTATGTGTGTTTAGCTCGATTCATAGCTTTGCACCTACAAGTGTAGTTGAAGAGATCTGTTTCATGGATATCCCTAAAGGCTCACACTTTATACTAAAAATACTGAGACTACATTGTCCTGTCTGTTCATGTTTTAAGTACATACATCATAGAAGCTATGTATATCTTATGCACATAACATAATATCATCAATTTCCTGTGCAGATTTAGCAGAACAAGAAATGATTTATGAGTTTATAGAACAGTAGAAATGTCATAAACTACATGAACTACATATGTAACCCCTTAACTAGGATTGACCAGTTCTACATCTAACAGTTTCTGCCAATAATAGATATTGTCCCTTTTGTTTTTGTAATTTGTAAAAGTCCTCCTTTGACAGGAACCGGTTGGTGTGTTGATGTTTTTAAAATTCCACTCAAAACAATTAATTTTCCATATATAACATATTTATATATAACAGTCCCACAACCATCTCATTAAATAGAAGTACCCTTCACCTGATTAACATCTTTGAATGAATCTGCATTGTGTGTCCCTCCACCAACAACCTGTTTCAAGTTGAAATACAGAAAATTACTGAAGTGTGATCTGCTCTAATAATCATTTAATATTCTTCTTGTGTCACTGCAAGTTTAGCCCTACTTTATAGAATAATTTGTGCTACAGCTACCTCACTACAACTACTACCTTTTCACTACAATATACAATATAACTGTCTTTGTCCTCAGGCCATAAATCTGGCCAGTGATGATGCACTCACCCTGAACCTTCTGGCAAAGGTCTTCTTTCTGCTGGGCAAACATGAGATGGCCACAGGGATCTGTAACATGGCCCTAAATGTGCTCCCAGACCCAGAGATCAACTGGCAGGCCTACTGCACTCGTGCCAAGGTACAGCAGACAAATCAGTGTCAAAACCAAGCTGGCAAAACTCAGCCAATTGTGAAATCCCTTTAATGGTTGAGAATTTGCATTCATTGAAACTGGCTAAAAGATGCACAGATTTGCACTAATTTTGGATAAATAAATGGTTATATTCAGTTTATATGGAAAAGGCGACTATTTATACTCCAAACACCTGTATACACAACAAAATATTGAAAATGGTGTATATAAATAATTTATAAAATTTTTTCCTTTTAGATCAATATGATGCTCTACGTCAGGGACCTGGAGAGGGCAAAACATGGTCAAGGTGGAATCCCAGACAGACAGAAGCTAACTGAGACCAGAAAAGACTTGGACAAAGTCTTAACAGTACGTCCATGTCTGAGAACTCACCTAGAGATGGCACAGGTAAAGACACAAACCACTAATGAGCAATATATATGGATTTTCTACGGCAACAGGGTTTTCAGAGTCATGTTTTTCCCTTTAGGTGTATTACTACATGGGTGTAGATGCCCTTCAGGAGAGTCTGTTGGTGGATGAGGGGGCAGTGAACAGTGCGTTGGTGAGTCTGTCCCATGCCTTACAGTTTGAGCTGGGTGACAGCTTGCCAGACCTCCACGTGCTCAGAGGTCGCTGCCTCCTGATGAAAGGTGAGGAGCAGAATGCTGCAGACTGCTTCAAACATGCTGTGGAGTTAGAGAGACCAGGGAGCACAGACACAACAGCCCTGCGCTGCCTCCTACAGGCCCTCCTGGCTCTGTTCATGCAGGGAGGCCCTGACCCCAGCCTTGCCATCACCCAACTGGAACTGTGGGTGCAAAAGGCAGAGGAGAAGTTCCCTAAGGACATTGTGAAGGCTGAGCTGAGATGCCTTTACAGGACTCACACAGAAGAGGTCACAGAGTTATCCAAGGCTTTGATCAGGACAGGCAGACTGGACCTAGTGAGGAGGCTACTGGAAACATTGGTGCCTAAACAACTGGTTAAAAAGAGATCAATCGCAAGGTCTTTCTCCTTTACATGAAGCAAATATGTGACTTTAATAGATATACAGGCATATGACCAACCACTCATCCAGCATTTCACAGAAAAAAATTAACAGCAGTGGGGCACTTTCAGCTGTATTTACTGTAACATTAAACTGTATGTTTTTAAGATGTTACTGTTCTATTATTAAATTGTTTTTTGAAGGGGTGTTTTTCTTTTGTTTTTGAAGAAAAACTTTCAGATATGTTGGATCCACAGAGTAGCCTACATTTACAGTTACAGCATAGAAGGATTTTCCTTTTAAGCTTGCCTTACGATGGAAAATAGTTAATAGTTAGTTTTTGTATAAAATAAGACGGCCTTAACTTTTATGATCATTACTGAATTGAAGAGAGAGTGGTTGGGTGTATTCATAATATAATGGTTATGTTCAGGATGCCAACATAAGCCGTCGAATTTCTGCTTAGTAATATTTACATCATGGCACAGTCTACCTCCGAGTGGGATATTTGAATGCTCTACCACTGATGACCACTTGATGAGTGTTGTGCAAAAGCAACTGTAGTGTGTGAAGAGAGTCACCTGAGTGTTATCCTCTTTTGCCAATGTTTATATTTTAATTGACAATGGATGGAAAATAATGACTCACTTTTATTGCCTATAAAGGATCACAATTCTTTTCATGACACACACCTATTGAATAACACACACTATAAGTTATTTTGGTTACACTGTAGAGAGAAGCATAATATTTATCAATTAAATCAAAGGATAAAATAATTTTAGTTGTGCCCTTTGGAAGCAGAACATGCTGGGTTCCTGTCTTCCTATAGCTACAGATATTATAGTTTCCAAATAAGGTTAATGTTCACATTAGGGCTGACCCCGCATAGTTGAAGGTTCGAAATAGAGCCCTATTCTGTTACCAGGACAGAGACCCGAGTCGACATGAAAACCATGTAACGACTGACTTTCACCTCCTTTTGGACCTCCTTTTATAGCTCTGTTTCTTGGCTTCACATCATCTCTTGGCTCTCTTTCCTACGGCACCTGGGTCTGAGAAATTCCCTGACTGTCTGCTCCTCTCTCTTTGCATGCACTCCGCTTGATCATGCCATTTCATCCGTAACCTGACTTTTATGGAATAAACTGGTTTTGTTTGTGCTCCGTGCTAGAAATAGGACATTCTTACTGTGATGGACTATATTAATGTATGTTTTGTAATACAATTTTCACAAAATCTGCTTCTATATTTCCCTTTGCAAGTGTTTTTGATGCTATCTTACTGTGCTCCCCCCTCTGCTCCCAAAGCACAAGTGCTTGCTCCCTCACACACGCACATGTGCTACTGCTGAGCCTGGGCAGTTAGATACAAAAAGGAGCACATACACTCAGAGCTATAGAGTTTTAACACTGTGATCCTAACTTTACACTATAAAATAACACTTTAAATGATGACAATGTAGACCACCATTGCTCTAGTAATTAATGATAACAATTTAGGCTATAATGCTCCAAAATAATTCACAACAGAAACCAGCGCTCTAATCAAGCAAGCTATAAAGGGATGCAGCTGATGAAGCCACAGTTTGATCATTTGTTGATGGTAAAGTGCATTTGCTTAAAAAAAAAAAAACTTTTCAGCTACCATTTTGGTGTTTGACAACATCTTTAGTTTTTTGTTATCATTAAGTTCAAACACCATATAGCTGTTGCAAGTTGAAACCAATTACCACTGCTGCCGGTTGCAGGATTCAAACTCACGACTGGAATAAGACATGTTGCTCTATGGTGTGGAGTCTAACTAACTGCGCCACCAGCTAGCTTGCCAGTACTGAGATAATGTGATCCTCTGTTGATACATAAAGTGCATTTGCTTTAAAAAAAAAAGATTTTGGACTTTTTAGTTAGTGCTAGAGTAGCTGAGCATAAAAATATACATCTTGTTTCCAAACTCCAAACAGGGAGGAAGATACAGCAAGTTAAAGAATTAGTGAAAGGGGGAGACCTCAGGCTGCAGCTACAACAGGGAGTGAATGAGAGATGACTGAGACTTTCCAATCAATTAAGGATCACAGATAAAAAACTAAATGTCCACTGAGCAGGATTTTGACATTTTGAGGGAGAAAATGCATGTGGCTACATTTTGTTGCCTTTTTTGTGCTTATGGAGATAAATATACGCAACTGGCAGCAGTTTACAAAAAAATTCTGGTCTGCAAAATTCTCCTCTCCACCCTCTAACATGATAACATGACACACTCCAAAGTCTGCTAAAAGCTGTAAAACCCTTCACTTTGGAAGGGCATAGCTCCTAAACTAATTTTTTTTTTTTAAAGATCAACATCTTTTCTGCAACCTACAGCTCAACTGGAGTCTGTAGCTGCACATATGCCGGAGCATTTAGCTCTTAAAGTTGAGTAGGTTGGAAGAAAGTTGAGCCTCTTGCTCCCATTGAACCCCATTCATTTTTTTTCACGTAAAAATATTAATACAAAATCAACCATTATAGATATTAACAACACAGGTAATAGCATAAATCTCCTGAACAGGATGTACATTTTGAACAACGATGCAGGAGAAGATAGAAAATGGGGTTATATATAATAATAAATAATAAAGAGCAAAGACAACTAAAGTGTGAGAGCAACAGCTCACACAGTTTTTGATGGTAAAGGCAAGTATGATATTTAAGAGAAAAGACGAAGTAAGGAGGTGATTGGGGTGGATAGAGGGCCAGAACCCGGACCTTGAAGCAGGAGAACAGGGTTTGTGTCCCGTGCGAAACAAAACATTAAATGTTTTTATTTAGGCGAGTGAGGTAAATTGACATTAACGTTAGTTAAGTTAAGTCTTAACTGACATACATAGCTATTTGAACCCAAACCATGATCTTTTCCTAACCTTAACCAAGTAGTTTTGTTGCCTAAACCCAACCAAGTACTTTCTGTGCCTAAACCTAACGAAACTGCAACGTTTCACGACTTTAATTATGCGCGTTTCAACATCGCAATTTATCGAAACGTTACGTTTTATCTTGAAAGTGTAACCGGATATTGCATATTTATTGTTGCTAAGCGTTGCTACCTTGACTGTGGGTCCCCAAACGTCAATAATTGATGCAAAAGGGCTACCCAAGTCTTTAAAAAGCGACGACAAAGGGCCTTGACCATGCGTCAGACATTTGACGAGTAGGGAGTGAGACTGTGTTGTGCAGGTCTGTCGATAATGAAAATAATTATTAGTTGCAACTCTATTCCTGGCTCTGACCTGCCACCAACCTGTTTAAACCAACCAAATTTTTTTTTTGCTGTTTTTGTTCACAGTCATTATATTAGAATGGTATGTAGGCCTATATTTGAAATATGGGCACAATACCTGGTGAATTGTATTTGACGAGTATGGATAATCAAGCAGCACAACTAACAATTTGTTATTTTTCTTGATGAATTATCTTGTAAATAAATGAATCAGAAAATTGTGAAAAATGACTATCACAGTTTCCTAAAGCCTAAGGTGATGATATCAGATTGATTATTTTGTCAGACTATTACTCAAAAACCTAAAGATATTGAGTTTACTGTTACATACAATAATAGGACAAAAAGCAGCAAATCCTCACAATTTAGCAGCTGGAAACAGAAACTGTTTGGTAACTTTTCTTGAAAAAATTGACCTTAACGATACATCCATTTTCACAATAGTTGTCGGTGACCAGTGAGTCCATAACCCCCATGCAAATAATGTGCTATCATAACATCCTACGGGAACTTGATTTTTGTCTGTGTGGCTCTTAAAAAATGCAGCCAAGTCAGACGTGGCACACAAGGGTTCAGGTTCTGCAGCATTATTCATTTACTTGCGCAATCTGAGTTGCCACTCCACATACAAGACATATTCTTTCACAGCTTTCCAAGACGACAACAAGGCTTTAAGCTTAATCAGGTAAGATTTTTAGGTTTGCTAAAGGAAATTACATATCTTTATTTTAAAAGTATAATGAAAGCTTTATCTGACACAAAACTATGAAGAGCAAAAAAGAGTAAAATAAATTTCAACCTTTTTAAAGTTGTGTTATTTAAACAATGAAAATGACATATAACACAAATTGCACAAAAGCTAGTGTTTTATGCTCATGTTCTGCGAATTTCAGATTTTAGACTTTATTGAGCTGGAAAAAGCTCATATATACATATATATATATACATATATATGCTGGTCATATAATTAGAATATCATCAATAAGTTGATTTATTTCAGTAATTCCACTCAGAAAGTGAAACTTGGATATTATATTCATTCATTACACACAGACTGATATATTTCAAATGTTTATTTCATTTAATTGTGATGATTAAAACTGACAACTAATGAAAATCCCAAATTCATTATCTCCGAAAATTTGAAATTACTTAAGACCAATCCAAAAAAATATTTAGAAATGTTGGCCAACTGAAAAGTATGAACATGAAAAGTATGAGCATGTACAGCACTCAATACTTAGTTGGGGCTCCTTTTGCCTGAATTACTGCAGCAATGCGGCGTGGCATGGAGCCGATCAGTCTGTGGCACTGCTCAGGTGTTATGAGAGCCCAGGTTGCTCTGATAGTGGCTTTCAGCTCTTCTGCATTGTTGGGTCTGGCGTATCGCATCTTCCTCTTCACAATACCCCATAGATTTTTTACAACAATACTTTTGGAAAACGCACTTCATGGTCAGAAATATAAGCTTGGCTAATAACAAATGACCTGAGCTGTCATCACTGATTGACAGGTGTTTCTCTTAGTTATTGCGTTGATGAACTTGATGAACTACCTATCAGTTCCAGGGTTACAGGGTGGCCAATGAGATTTCAGGGGTGGTCCAGGCCATTGCCTATAGCATGGCAGGAGAACAGTTTCGTGTTTAAGGCATCTTAAATCTCAAATCTTATCCTAACCTGTTGACGTGTTGTCATGTTCTTGTCATCAGGAGTTCTAATCTTGGGAAACACCCTACAGCCACCTCTGACATGTCAATTCATCTCTTATGAGTGGAGTTCTCCACAAACTATTATTTTTTAATAAAACATTTCAGCCATGTATGTTCCTGTTTTTAAATGGAAACAAATTGTTTAAATTAGAAATAGGGGAGAGCGGGGTAAGGTGTCTCGTGTGTAAGATGTCACACTGCTCATAACTCCATCACTAGAGGCTCTATGTCAAAAATCAAAAAAGCCATTTTGTGTGACTTCTTTTTCTATGTTCAACTTGCTGTTCACATGTGGTCAAGGTGACTCTAATCTGAGGTTCTAATCTGAATGTTATTATAATTTTGCTTCAAAAGTAAAACATTTGCACTTTACATTTTATGTATTCCAACCTTATTAGGTATGAATGTTCAAAATGATAACTTTGCACAAAGTACAGGAAACAATAACATGTCTTTTGATACTTCAGCTGAAGTGCTATGATAAGCTACCCTTGAGATTTAGCCAACATTAGCACACATGTCAGTTTGCGGCAAGTTGTCTCAATGACTTTGGGGCGAGTTGTCACGTGATTAGTTGCCCCAGTACAAATAAACACATAAAACATGCTCAAACAATTATGTGAAATTGTGTAATTACCTCTGAAACAAGTATTAAATGATACAGTAAACAGGGTTAGGGTTAGGGTTACCCTTTCAAAAATGTTATTTTTTAAAATAGTTCTAAAAACAGCATACCCCAAGTCAATCAAGTAATGGTGGAAACATCTTAAAATATGGAAAGAATAAAAAAAAGAATAAAGTCGCTGTCTAATAAAAAGTAAAGTCAACAATATTTTAACTAATCTACCTGTCTTATAGTCTGCTGAGCATTAGCCTATATTATTGCTCCGCTAATGTGGTATCCCTTTTGACATCTTACAGACGCAGAACACCATTACAGTAGGTAATTTGCAGCTCACTATTTAATTTTTTAATCAAAAATATTGCTAGTGACAGGTCAGTAGTGGCTGACAAGCCCTGAATCTGAGTAATGTTACAGAGTAGCATTCCATATGCACCCTTGACAGAGGACCAAACTTAATATTTTCAAGGGCCTTAATAAAGTTAAAGTTACTGAGTTAATGTAGTGTATTGTTTCTTATAACGGTATATTGTTTTTACAAACTCTCATTTACACACTTTATATTAGGCTATTTTTAATTTGTATATTTCAAACCATCTTTCATATTTTATCAAACGTTTTATATGTTTAATTTTGCAGTCATGTTTGTTTTATAATGTGGGAATGCACCGTCAAGAGTCAGTTTCGCTGTGCAATGACAATAAAGGATTCTGAATCTGAAAGATGCCCGCCCTCTGCCCCCTCCCCTGTACGTAATCTAATGAATTTGGTGCACAGACTGAGTGGGACTTACAAAGTTAGTTAATGTTTCTGAATGTTGAGTTACAGTGGGTGAGGTTTATGATATTGCACCACCACACTTCAATGGTGATGACAGATAAGCATTAAAGGCAAAAATAGCATACTGTCAATATTTTAGAGACCCCCTAAAATGTCAGAAATCATGTTTTTTGGGGAACTCGTAACTTATTAAGAGGAGCCAAGCTTCCCTGTAGTTCACACCCTGCTTGTGTTTCAAAGGAAGAAACTACAATTTTAAAATTCACTTGACTGTAGTTCATGTTCCAAGTTATAAGCTTTCTGTAATTTATAAATAGGTATGTTCCCTGCTATCCTCTGAACAGGTTTACTATTCACAGTCTGTGGCTTTCCAAGTCTTACAACAAACTATGGAACAACAGGCCTTTATAGAGTGGCACAGTGGTCTCTTCGACTGCTTTGAGGACGTGAAGACTTGTAAGAATCAACACCACAACTTTGACAAATTTGTATTTTTTTGATTAAAGGCTTTATTTATTTCTCTAATTTCTAAGGCATGCTTTAGTAATATTAAGAGTTTGTACAACTCTGTTTTTCAGGTTGCTATGGTTTCTGGTGCTGCCCTTGCCTTGCCTGCACCGTTTCAGGAGGATTTGGAGAGAACACTTGTCTCCCATTATGTGACATACTCAGCCCCGCCATTATGTCAGCCTGTGGGATACCACTGTTTATTCCTCCTGCAGCCCTGTCTCTAAGAAGTGCTGTGCGAAACAGATATGGTATCAAGGTATGATCCTGATGTATACTGAACTTCACATGACATGTTGAACAAAAGTGAGGCAATGTTTAAGACTTTACTTTGCTTCTCTGCAGGGTTCTCTCTGTAAGGACATGGCAGTTTCCTGTTTCTGTGAGTGGTGCTCCTGGTGTCAGATGCATCGCGAGTTAAGGCATCGCAAGAAAACTCCCACTGTCATCAATGTTCAGAATCAAACCTTTGTCAACATGCAGCCTGCTCCAGCGGTGATGGTTAACCAACCCCAACCAGGTTTCATAGGCCAACCAGGCTTCCCAATGGTTGCACATCCAAATATGTAATCATTTTGAAATGCGTCCCCTTGGCATCCGAGTATGCTGAATGACTTTCAGCTTTTTAATAATCAAAAGAATCATGGTCTTTACAGAAGTACTTAATGATACTCTGTTTCAGTATTTTTAAATCTCTTCCTTTGTTTCTGGAAGGTTTGCTTTTACAATTCAGACCTATCCATGTCTCTTAAAATCAAACAAATTCATTGCCTAAACGGATAATAAAGCAGAGCTTGATATTATTTTGGTTTTGTTGATGACAAAAACTGAGACTTGTAGCACTAGATTTATGTTTGTTTCTTGTCAATCTGTACCTGGACAACTTTTAGCAATCTCTTTAGTTTTAAATTAATTTATATTGATATCTGGTGTTGGAGAAAGAGCTTGTCCTGTTCTTGGTCACAAGAGACATACATGCTTGCCACTGTGTCAAAGTCTTCTGGGGTTGAAAATGAAATCTTGTTTATTAAAAGTCCATGATTTGAAAGCCAATATTTTTACAGTCCTTGTATTTTCTTTTCTGTTAAAAACTGCTTCCTGAATGACGAGCCGTTTGACAGAACAATGAAGCTGGGAGTGCCTGCCTTGATGAAAAACCTGTTAACAGAAAAGGAAAGACTGAATGTAAAGGAAGTTAATGTCAAGAAGTGTCAAGGAAGTTAGTGTACTGAAACCTTGGCACCATGGTACAGACTTATTCATTACTCATTACTCGATACTGAACGCATAGGCTGCTTTTGTTCTTGTTTTTTTAAACACAAAATCTAAAATCTAATTTAATAAAACAAAAAGGAGATGCAGGTTAAAATACCAATAGCAAGAAAACAATGGACACCTTTTATGCTGCAACACTTTTAAAAGTGACATCTCTGGGTCTACTTGGTAGAGTGTCTCCTTCTTCGCGTCTTCAAAGTACACCTAAAAGGGAGCAAAGGTCAAATGTGGTTAATTAGGATTAAAAATGGATTATTGTCTTTTAATTTATTGATATAGCTGCCCTGTTCGGTATTGAGATATAATTCTCGTTTGACAGTTGTACAATTCAATTCAGAAAATATGAATTGAATTCTGCACCTGATATTAAAATCACTGTATTCAGTTCATCAAAATGAGGCAACACTGTAGCGTTGCTATAGTTTGTCAGAAAAAGATTATTTCACAAGTTTAAAGTGTCAAATTTATACAGTATGTTAACTTTTCAGGATGATGGTGTGCTTATATTTATTTAATCTCACTTTGCCACAAGTGAACATTAATATTTAGGCAAAAATAGTGCTGGGCAATTTACAATCAGACAGGTGCCGATGACATCTGACTAGGGATGCAATTATTACAGATTTTGTTGGCACGATTACAGTCTGGGGAATAAACGTTTCATGATTATTATGCATTAATTAATTTAAAACACTAGTAATGACTTAAGTTGATTTAAATATTTAATTACATTAACAATTATATTTCTATAATATGTAAGTATTATTAATATAAGAGGAATATTAACTTAATTTATCCCCCAGGGGAATAAACTGAACTGTTATTGTCATCAACTCTCATCCATACATATAAGTATCATTTAGTGAAAATGATGAAAAAGAAATTGAGTGCAGTGTTATTAATAACTGAAATGCAGGTAATTGGTAGAGTCCTGGAAGTCTATAAGCTCCTGATGTTATATTAGTGTTTTACACCTGGCAACATTTTCTCAACACACACAGGAGAAGGCAACTGGATGTAACGTTAAATGTTCAGTGACTGAAGGTCTTGAGAGGTCTACGTTCCATAAAGGTCCTTTCACAAAAGAAGTGATTTGCACTGCGTGGAAGCTGGGTTCAGCGCCAAAGTTCAACTACTTTTACAGCTGCTTGAGCGCAAGCTCACCAAGCGATGCGGTGCTTGTTGCAGGACCCAGCAACAAACTACCGTGGCGTGGCACAAGTGTAAATTTGTTTTCATTTTGTGCATTTCGCAACAGTTTCGTTTCGTGCAACAGAAACACTGGGTGTAGTGGAGCCTTTATGATTAATTAACCGTGACGTTTTAAAGTGTGGTTAATACTGAAATCCGGTAATCGCAGCATCCCTAGTACAGTATGAAAAAAATATTTTATGTATTATATATTTTTAATTAAACCTTGTAAACATATTCATGTACAACCCTTAAAGGAAATTATGAACCTGAAAATGAGCATAACCCGACCACTTTAACATATATATTTTTCTTTAATTTTATGCATATTTTGATGGAAAATTATTTTTATCAATATATTTGTTTTGAATGTTCTTAGTTGTTGTGATGATCAAAACACACCAACCTGCAAATTTTGTGGGTTGTATTTTCTGTCCGTGTCCCAAGGTGGAAGTTCTTCTCCAAACATGACTGCCAGGTGATCTATGAAGCTGAACAAGACAAATAAAAAAATACAGATGTGATTTTGCAGCTGTTATTTCACTTATTTCACTTTTTTAGTCTAATTAAATGGGGACGTATGGAGTTTCCTAAATTCAACTGTGGTCCGCATATAGGGAGACCTTACTCAGATGCCTCATGTGCTATTCCATACAGTATTTGTTTAAAGATTGAGTTATCTTTGTTTTTCCTGTATTTCTTACAATGCAGAATGTTAAAGAACAAAACTATAATTTCTTATACAAGACGGTGTTTTTCATTTGAAATAACTTTACATTTCTGTCTCAGTTAGCTACAAAAATACACAAAATCTACAGATATCGATTACTAGGCAAAAAAAAAAAACCAAGATGAGTTTACCTGTTGTTCTCACAGAAAGCAGAGATGAAGTCACTCTGCTGGTGCTCAGGATAGAGGAAGAGAACAGGCCAGTGAAGGGAGCCCTGCTCATCCAGGAAGACATGAGCACCCGTAGCTTCCTGAGAGCTGAGGCTGTCCAGGCTCAGCTGTGATATCGCTGCTGAGGACCCTTCATCCTCACTGTCAGAACCCTGCTGACGAGGCTTCAGAGGCTGGAGGAGCTTGATGCCTCGATCCTGCGTAAAGCACACAAAAATGTATCTGATAATCACACACAAACACACAAAAAAAGTAGGCTGTACAGGTAAGATTTTACATCATGTTATCATCATCATCACTTAGAGATTGTCAGATTTGAATGATTGTTTCAGGTACAATATTGTGATATTCAAATACATATGCAAAGTTCCACAGGTTTCAAGTTCAAGTGTTGATGCCTAACTGAGAGTAAGTTGGGAGGTTCATTTCCTCTAAGTTTTAATTAGGATGCTTACCTTTATAGCTGCCAGAAGGGCTTCTTTCTCACTATGCAACTTTTTTTCTTTGGCCTTGGCCTTCCTGGCATCTCTCTCTGCTGCTCTCTAAGGCACAAAAAACAAACAGGGCTTTATGCGCAACTGAAACTTAAACCCCCAACCCAAAATCTCCTCAACTCATTAGTGATTGTACCTTGTGTTTATCTGCTACTGCTCTCAGCTCCAGCAGCTTCTTGTCAGTGGGATGCTCCTTGAGCCCCTCGTCACACCACTGTACGGCCTCTGCAAAGTTGTGCAGCTCTATACAACACTGAACACCTGCAGAAACATGCACAGGATATACACAGGATTGTTTGTTGTCATTATTCTAAGCAGTACTTTGCTTTCTTATGATTGCTGTGTACTGGTATTCTATGGTATAATTTTAGCACAAGGTGAAAAACCGAATACATACCCCTGATCAAGGCTTTAAGGTGGTCTGGTTTGATCTTCTTTGCAGCTGCAGCATCATTCAGTGCAGAGCGCATGTTGCCTGTGTAATTAAAAAAACAGAAAAAAATGGAGGATGAAATTAAGCAACACTTTCTTAATCTCTTGTTTCTATGCATAACAATCCATGTTCATGCTTCTAGCAATACATCTATGTCTTATAAAGCTATGAATGTATTTGCGTGGCATAAATAATAATCCTTACCCAGGTGGAAGTGTGCTGCCGCCCGGTTGGTGAGGAGAACAGTGTCGAGGTCCTGGTCACCACATTTCTTTTTCAAACCTGCGGTGTAGGACAGTATGGCCTTTTGGTAGTTCTTCTCCTTGAAAAACGCATTCCCCTCATCTTTCAGACTCCTTGCTTGCTCTGGGGAGAAATGAGGATTAACAGTTTCTCAAGTCTAAAGCTGTTTTCACTGACAACAAGGATAACTCCAATAGGCTTTTCAAAAGCTGGAGGTCCACCTAACATAGTTACCTTCTGGGGGTCTATCTTCATCATGGATAATGGCCTGCAGGCAAGCTAGTTCTGGGTATGTTTGTGGGTCAATCTCTTCAGGTGCGGTTTTCATAAACATGGGCACTTTGTTAAACTCCTGAATGAGACAAAACAAATGAATCACTGCCGATGGATGGAAAAACGACCCCTCTAACCAGTTAAGTAACTTGACAACGACTTTAAAGGCAGCAGATACCATATACACAGAAATAACTTTGTGTTTAATCTCTATAATTTACCTCTTCCCAGCTGTTTTCACTGAAGGCATTTTTATATCTCTGGGTCTTGAATTTATCCATGAACTCGTCCATGCCGTCGTCGCTGTCATGCTGCTCTGTCGAGGACGCCATTTTCGATCAAACTCTATTTTTAAAGCACTGTTTTGTTGTATAAACTATGACAGGAGATTACTGCCACCACCCCATCACGCGTAATTACGTAATTTAATCTAGAATTTAGCTAGCTCCTTGTTTACCCATGTGCATGAACGGTGCTATGTGAATAAAGATCCGTGCGGAAACACAGTACCAACACAGTAGTTCCACAACTTCCCTGCAACTATAGATTTACATTTTATGAACAAATAATAACCTTGTAAATATGTCAATGCTTAAAGAACACAGTTGTATGTAAATTTGTTCAAATGGACTTTTACCACCTACAAAAAATATATTGCTTTCTTAGAATCAATTACATTCCTAAATGTGTCAAACCTGCATATTGAGGTACTTCAGTATGTATGTACTCATAATGGACTGCTTACAATTTATATTATGGTAATGCTATTTTAGTGTATGTACTTATTTCACCACTGTAAATGGGTATTTAAATGTTTTGATTTTCCCCTGATTTGCATTACATGGTTGTATTTACGGTATTTCACAAATACCGTAAATTCTGAGTTGTACTATGGCAGCTGTAATGTACGGATGCAAATGCATATTATCACACAACAGCAAATGGTCATCGTTTTGGTTGACTTCTGTAAGTTCATGTTTTTATTTACATGGGAACATAAAAGGCTGAAAAAATGACATTGTGACATTCTTGTGTATTACATCATGGAAACCAAATGCAATTTAATACCATAAGGTCAATTATCAAAGCTTTTGTTGAGACATTAGGTTTATGCCAATCAGCAATGTCACCAAGTATGTAAGTGATAGGTTTTATAACTTTGTAAAACAAAACAAAAAATGTCCAGTCATTATGACATCTAACAACTTACAAGGCTTTTTCACCACCACCTCTCTAATACATCATACATATTTAGCTTTTTACAAAATAAAACATTTATTTCCATACACAGCTTTGTTATTCATATAGTTTCCACTTGTCTCAGAAGACCCAAAAGTCCATCTTTACTGAGAAACATCGTCTTGCCTGTCTGCTGGCAGATCACCTCAAACCTGGGTATTTCCTCTAGCGCTCCCTGTCCTACTACAATAACATATGGGTAGCCCAGTCTGCTCGCATCCTTCAGCCTCTTTCCAATGGTCATCTGTGTACGGTCATCAAAAACAACTTCACCTTTCAATCGAGGAAAGGTCTCTCCCAAGGTGTGAACCAGTTCCTCAGCTAAGGTTGCTGCCTCGTCCACCTTACTGCCCTTCTTTGGGGGTAAAACACATACCTGGTAAGGGGCAAGAAGACCTGGCCAACGGATCCCCTCTTCTGTTGACATCACCTCAATGGCTGCAGCGAGAATACGGGTTACCCCAAGACCATAGCAGCCCATCTCTGCAATACTAGGCTTATTCTGGGCATTGCTGAAGGTGGCATTGAATATATGAGAGTACTTTTTACCCAGGTAAAAGGTGTGTCCGACCTCTATGCCCTTTGACTCTACCAGTGTGCCAGTTTTGCACTGTGGGCAGTCAGTTCTGTCTGATGACATGGTCTCTACGTTAGCAGAGAAGGAGCAGTTCCCACAGACCAGAAGTCTGTCCTCACCAACATCTGCTGGCAGCTGGAACTCGTGGGAGAGTTTACCGCCGATGTTGCCCGTGTCTGCCTGCACCTGTACGCAACGCAGACCCAGCCGGGCGAAGAGCCTGGTGTATGCCTGGCACACAGATTCATAGGTCTGATAAGCTGCTTCTTCACTTACATCAAACGAGTACATGTCCTTCATGTAGAACTCCCTCCCTCGAAGCAGACCAAACTTAGGCTTTGGTTCGTCTCTGAATTTGCGAGTGATCTGTTTAAAAGAAGTTTATATGTAAGGTTTTTTTAACAACAAATACAATGGTGGCAACAGAGTAAAGGCTACCTGATATAGAAGCAGAGGGAGCTGTCTATAGGAGAGTGTTGTCTGGTGAGCGACAAGAGTCGTCACTGCCTCCTCATGTGTGGGGGCCAAGCAGTAGTCGGCACCATGGCGGTCTTTCAGACGGAGCAGCTCCTTTCCCATCAAGTCCCAGCGCTCACTGGCTTTCCAGAGATCAGCTGAGCACAAACTGGGCATATCCAGCTTCTGCCCACCGATCCCCTGCATCTCTTGGTCAATTAGTCTCCCCTGTTGATTTAAGACATCAGTTATTACATTTTTTGGAAAAAGATGATAACATTTACATTTGACCTTGCATTGCAGTTCTCTAATCTCAGTTGGTACCAAACCTTGGAGCCGGGACCACGCCCCAAGGGGTCTCAAAATATATCTCAAATGTTTAAAAGATTATGAATGAAGAAAAAAATAAATTTCTGTAACATAGAATTACATTGACTTTTCAGAATTTTCTTATTAATTAGTGTACCAAACAATTTTACCTCTTCAGTCCTCTAACTGACTAAAAGCATCACACACGCCAAGAAGGTTGGGAACTTTTACTCTAGTGTGCAGTCATGGATGACTGTCAGACATCTTGTGTGACCCATAAACAAGAAACGGAATAATAAAATGCATATGATTTAAACAATAATAAGTAGTAATTTTATTAATAAAATAAATAAATAAATCAGACAGTACTTTTTTTAACAACATACACTTGTACGATTCATAAGTCTTTGAGTCAGTGTCTTTGTATAGATATATATTTTGTCTTTATATAGCTGGGTCAGATTCATGTCAGAAAAATCTCTACAAAAACATACATATTTTATCAAAAGAACTGATTATGGAAATGACACAATCCGATTCACCGCACTTACTCGAGGGATATAGTTTCTTTAAAAAAACAAGTCTCACCAGCTTCTCCATGGAGCGGACAGTGGCTGGAAGGTAATAGTAACAACCGGGATTGGATGGATGGATAAGCCCGGCCTGCTGCATGAGCCTTTGGCTCTTACAAGTCATCTCTCCTTGCATCCGGCTGTCCTGCCCCACATCATGCAGATTTGAAGGCTGGTAGAGGCGGGACACCAGAAGTGCGGGCTTCATATGTCTGGAGTTTGTGGAGGCAGGAACAGTGGCATGTTCAGCGCACCCTGAATGGCTTCTCCTGGGAAGTACTGAGGTTCTGTGGAGGCGCTGGAAGACTCTCGGCCAAATCTGATTCATTATGGGGTCCATGCTAAATCCAGACCTAACAAAGCAATTAGCAAGTTGACAGAGTATAAATCATCAATATTTTCATTAGTCGTTTGAGTCATTTTTTCAAGTGAAAATGCTGAACATTCTCTGGTTCCAGCATCTCAAAAGTGAGTTGGTCAGATTAACACAAACAAAAAATCCTGATTTGTCAGACCTTTTCGGAGACATAAACATTGAACTGATCGATAAAGAAAATTATTGACAGATTAGTCAATAAAAATTTACCTACTAAGTATTGCACCTAAATCCAAATCTGAGGTATATCTGCTTTTGCTTGACTTCACCCATTTCATTGTAATTTAAACTGCGCTACTTTTCAGAGGAAAATGTTCTAATGTTAACTCTGAAAATGAGATTACTGATACTACTAATGCACTTTTACATAAGCTGCTTTTACATAATGCTTTTACTAAGAATATAACGTTAGTTCTATTGTAAAACTACAACTTTAACTTAAGTAAATGTGAGTAAGTTACTTATTCCACCGACACAACTACACACGATCTACGTGCTAAATTATAGATTAAATGATATTTGCTTCATGCAAATAGGAAAGAGGGAAATCCAAGGTCGTCACAACTCAGTAATTTACTTACAGATATATATTTACTCCCTGGAATAAACCACAGATGTATTACATACGTGCAGATGAATAAAAGCTATGGATGAAAATGTAGATGCCACTGACAAATTCTGCCCTGATGGCAAACTGAACAGCAGTTTAGCTAGCTAAGGTTAACTTGCTTAATCAGTTAGCATACAAAGCCGTACGTACGCAGAATTAGTAGAGAAGACTCCCCTTGGGACCTACAAGTACTGTCTGATTTTCCAAGTAGACCGTCTCCTTAAATGAGCAGAGCGTAGTGTTTCTATAAATTTAGCAAACTGCAAAACGTTGAAGGTCCCTTCAACATGCTGACTTCTTTAGTTACATGCATGGAGGCTTTAATGTTACTGCGCCACCTGCAGGTCTGGAGGAGAAAAGACACAGAGGCAGAGCAATCTGGTTTATTACCATTTTTGATAATTATTTAGTTGTTTTGTGTGTCTGTTATTATTAGTATGTTTTTTGTTTCAGGATCCAAGTTAAGTTCAACTTAATGATTAATAGGTGGGGAAATGGAAAACATAATGTTTATGTCTCCAAAAAGGCTTGTTTGTTTACTACAACTTAATAAGTTGTAGGCCATGTTGTCTCAGGCACAGTATTACAGCATGGCAGTTACTTCTGTGTTCAGCAGATGGAGCTAGTGGCGTACAGGAAAAGTTTTTTTTCTTCTTCCTACTTCAGACAAAGTGCATTGCTACAATTGGCTTTCAAGAGTATCAGCTACAAATCAAATAATTTTGCTGTGTTTCGATTAAAAGTTGGAATTCCCTAAATATGGTTATAATATATGTGTTTTTATACCTCATAGGCTGGATACTGGTTGAGAAATGAGCACGCTTTCCAGACTACACTGGCGTTTGGCTAATTAGACGTCTCCCCAGGAAAGTGTGTGATTGTGTGTGCAGATTAGTTTGCCTTGGTGACATGCTGGGTCAGCATGCATGTTTGATGATAAAAATACTCATATCATCCTTAATAGAGACACTGGCCCCACCATTTTTGTTATTATCAGGAACAAAAGGCTGAATATTTCCCTTATGCAATAAACTCTGGGTATACATAAATATTATGATCAAAAAGTCTCCCTTCTGTTCTTCTGTCATTGTAAAAACATGAAATTAAAATAGTATTTTTTAAAGTTGTGTTATCTAAACAATGAAAATTACATATAACACAAATTGCACAAAAGCTAGTGTTTTATGCTCATGTTCTGTGAATTTCAGATTTTAGACTTTATTGAGCTGGAAAAAGGAAACATCTACTGTGAAAGGGACAGCCAGGTGCAATGGAAGGGGAAAATGATTAAAGTTAAATGGCATGCAAACACATTTAATGAGTCATTGATGTTGGCATTACTTAATTTCCCCACAGAGTATTGCAATGTATTTACAAACCAATTACATAAAACTGCACAACCATATTTGCATTTCGTCAGTAAAACTGTTTTTCCATTTCCCCACCTATTAATCATTAACTGTTGTTATTAACAAAAACTTTTTACAGTTGCAGACAGTATTCCCAACATCAGCAAATGTACATTAAAAAACACTGTATTATGACTCATCTTTTAATACATAATGTGAGGTTTTAATGTTTTCTAATGCTGCTTAGAGTTACATGTTTTTCCAAAACAAAGAAGTGAATCAGCACAATATTTTTAATTATTATCAGAATGAGATGCACACAAAATGCTCTTTTTAGTTATACATGTGAGTATACCTCTAAGATGTTAAATGGAAATGCAAATGCAAAGGCCTCATCGACATGAGCTCCTGTGCCAATAATTAAACTCACAGAAAACATTCTCAAAACTACTTTTGAACAAAACCTTATATTCCTGAAATCTTCACACATTAAAACAAATGGAAGTATATGTAAATTGGACACAAAGAAGAATACATTACAGTTTGCTTGGTTTGTACTGTCTGTGAAGCATTTTGCAACTTTACCAAGAAAAGCGCTGTAAACAAACAGCAAAACACTACAAATGACAATTGCCACTAATCCATATACGGTCAAATATTTGATGCACTATTGGTACTATTGATGAGTTTTTATTGAACGATTATACTATCACAGGCAATCTTTCCTTTTTGTTGACATTATACTGTATAGAGGTCTGTGTCAATGCACTTTTGCTGGCTTTATAGCATTTTATGTCAACAATTTGAAACCATTATTCCTTCAGTGAGTCAATGAGACACGGGCACCTGATGGTCATCTAACAGTAAACACACATGAGCTCAGAGCGTCTAACTCTGGCTCTTGTCTTTCAGGTGGACACTGTGGAGGACATTGTTCAGCCTGTAGGTTACACATTGATGTCAATGAAAATGCAGGCACACACGCACGCACACACATGCACTGATGTATTCCTGAGCCAATTAGTTTTGCGCCTGTTTCATAAATTTATCTAGATGCTGTTGTTTTTAGATTTGGTTCTCAGAGAAATGGGCGACTGAATGTCTCCTTGAAATACAAACAATCCCATTTGGACAGATCTTATCTGCAAATGTCACATTTGCCTGTTTGGCTTTATACATTTACATTTACATTTACTCATTTGGCAGACGCTTTTATCAAAAGCGACTTACATTTGAGGAACAACACGGGGCGGCTGTGGCTCAGGAGGTAGAGCGGGTTGGCCGAAAAGACTAGAAAGGCGCTATACAAATACGGAGCATTTACAATCCAGAGCATTTAACATACAAGCATCAGAGTATAGAGATGACGTTTCTTACTTTCACAGAGCCTTAGTTCAAGATTCTCTCTCTCTGGCACTTGAAATGTATTGTATCATACATTAGAAATGGTGTGATTTTGGTTTCAGAAGTGATGGGATACAATGAAGTTGCCAGAAATATTAAATAAAGAATAATATTAGATAATTTTCATCCCAGTCCAAACCATGAAAAACAGCCCCAGAACAAAAGTTCATGGTGTGTCGACTTTTGGCTGTTTTATTTTTTAGGTTTCAGTATTCAGACATGATCCTTCACACGTGACATTTGTTGGTGTGAAATAGTCTTCATGAGTAATCACTGACCTTCAAATCTTCATGTTTGAGTGTCACTTACATTCTCAAATTCAGTAATGACATTATGGCCTAATACTGAAATGGAAAACATGTAGGAGCTTTGTAATTGGATAAAAGCTAACAACGTCCCACCATGAAGGGAGGGAACCTTTTCTGCTTCAGTGCAGCTGCTACTCAGTTTGCTAGTGCTTCTGTCACTGTTGCTGTTAAACTGAATAAATGCTGTTTTTGTTTGAATTCATATCAAATACTGATACTGATACCACTGATTAGGCTCGACACACAATATCAGTGAATAAAGTCAGATCACAGTTAGGCGTTACTTTTAGTGATAAACAGTTGCATTTGTTTTCAGTTTGTCAGTCCAAATGGCAGATGACATCATGGCACTCACCCGGGTGACTTTACATCCTTTGGGGCCATTTAAGGTCATCGTAATCTATGTCATTTTCTTCCCTTCTCCAAGCCTTTGAGTCAGTGATCACGGCAGTCAGACAAGATGTCCATTATGTTATATCTCTGTTACAATGATCAGGGTTACATTTATTTTATTTATCAACACTGCAGTGAAATACACAGACAAAGTACCCTAGAGTTGTGTATCAGCTTTCTTGAAAAATTACAGAAAACCATCTGTGGTAAACACTACATGAAAAACATTTGTTGGTCTCTGCAGTAATTTATGGTTTGCAGAGATAACGTAAGTGAAAAACAGGAGCCAGAGCAGGATCATAATGGTAGCAAACATGTTAGCCAGCCAGCATAGTCGGGCTAAATTAATAAACCTGTGTCTGTTGATACTGCATGATAACCTCACCTGTCTTTTGACAGAACAAGATCATGAACATGGTTATTTCATCTGACAAAACAATCCCAACTCAAGGTCCACTTACTAGCTTTTTGCAGAGCTTTCAGACATATCACACTGTCTTCATCAGTGGAGGGAACTTGCTCAGCTAGAGATGGAGCTGTTGTCATGCAAGCTCAGCAGCTGTTATGATTTCATCCAAAGCACTTTTAGGACTTCCACTGATGAATACTATTTCCAAGGTCGAGAATAAATTTTAGTACTAAATCTCACGTCAATCTTGTATTAAGAAATTACTGTACATACAGTATTAGAAGTAGTATTATATGACTACATTGTTGACCACAAATGCCAGAGTGTTCCCAATAAGAACTGAACACTGCTTCTTCATTTTGACTCTGGGGACAGAAAGTTAGGTCTAAGTCCATGACTACACCAAGATTTCTGGTGATATGGTCATGTAAATGTGTGTGTCATCTGCATAATTATGGTAACATACTTGTTTTCCATTAAAAAATATAATTCATTCATTACTGTGGTACTACCAACCATAGATCACTTTATCAGGAAATTCATGTTAGTTCTGTGGATGGAAACGGAAAAAACAACAACAAAAAGAATTCTATTTCTGTATCTAAAACATTGTTTTATATTTTCTGCTACCATTGGGACAACCACAGAGCATGTCCAACTAAACGTAATATAATTTCATTGACATCCTAAGTGGGACCTGCACCGTTAATGATCGAAGTGAAATGTCATGGTGAGTGTCACATCGCAACATCAGCAGCTGCATAATGACCTGCATGATGGACTGTCAACATTGACTTTTTTCCTCTCATATGGGCCCAAACTGCCGTAAAGCCAAAGACAACCAGGTCATCAAAGAGTTGTAAACACATGAAACATATATTTGAAAGCAGGGGGACTCACTTTGCATCACTTAACTAGCCATGCAGTGGATGGAAGGTTGGTGCAATTATAGCTTTAAATCACATGATCACAGAGAGGCTGAGAAGGCTGCCCTCTTCTAATGTGATTGTCAGTTGAGGGTTGTAAAAGGCTGATGGCCGTCACGCTCTCTCGGACTGTTAAAATGTTGATGGTGGGAATGACCGGATACATAAAATGACAGAGTGAGGACTATGTGTGTGTGCGTGTTCGTGTTTGTGTGTGATGGGCTAAAGAGCCAGTTAGAGCGAGGGAGTGGAGAGATAGCATTGATGAAATGAAAGGTTGATGGTATATAATACAGGGAGATGAAAGCATTGGATCAACGGCCGGCCCACTGTGCAGCAAAGAAGACTTACAGAAAGCCGGCGAGAAAACAGATAACCAACAGAAAACTGTTTCAGAACAAACCAGACCACCAAAGAGATAATCCTCCCTACAGACAGTCAAGTATCCAGTATGAGGGCTCTGGTAGTTTTGCCTCTGCTGTTGTGTGCAGTGGTGCATGTGGACCAGGTGAGAGCGGAGGTGAAGGCAGTGAAGCTGTGCGGTCGAGAGTTCCTGAGGGCCGTCGTTTACACCTGCGGAGGCTCCCGCTGGAGGAGATTCCTCAGTGAGTCAGACATGGATGGTGAGAGAACTTTATTATTCAAAACAGCAGACACAGTGATCAGTGATAAAAAAGAGGAGTCTAAAAACGTTTTTTGCATAAATTTTCTCTTTGGTTCAGGATTAACCATATTGTTAGTTTGTATATACGAAATAATAACATATAAATGTGTCTGTTTCTGTGTAGATTTAGCCTTAAAGGATAGGTTCACAATTTATAACGTCTGTCATAAGACAACAATCCTCCTGTTTAAGTTAACTGTTGAGTTAACTAAGTTAATATGTCCGAGTTTTCTACCTTTTCAGTATGAAATTCCCTTTTTTTGTTCCAATCTCTTCACTGGAGCTCAACAGGGAAATACAAAAACGGAATTTCATACTAAAAAGGCTGTAGATATCCACTTTGGAAGATATCCACTTGATTTGACTATTTCAAATTGCTGAAGCCTCTCATTAGCTTCTCATAAACTTTGGAGTAGCCTACATTTTTGCACAAAATCAAGACTGTGGATCACTCACATTGGAAGTATGTTAGGAAAGGTTTTAATGGCCTAATTGGCAAGAAAAACCTGTTTCAGTGGCACCTGACAATTGTCTTGAGACAGACTTTAAAAATTGTGAACCAATCCTTTTTTTGTGGTAGATGTACTGCATAGCAGGGCTATATAGACAGGTATTTGTACCATTTGCTTATTACTATCTTGAGATGTCTGGAGATGAATGAAGCTATTTTGTTTCCGAATTTCCCCAAAATTCGGTCTGACATAATTTGGATTCTTAAACACTTTGGAATCTTTACTAGAATTTTAAATACATTTCTGTAGGTTTGAAGAAAGTTTGACCACACAGTTTTTAATGTATGGCCAAGTCTGGTAAATATGAGACACTAAGATATTGTGGGATGTCCCGACTACAGTACATTTTGTAGAAATAACTGCAAACTGAATGCTGTAGTTCACAACATTTGTGGAAATCTGTACTTCTTTTTCTGCTAAAGTTTTCCGCAAGAAGTGAGATTTCATCCTATTTATTATATCTGACTGTTCTTTCTCATACTATTTATGTGTTTTGATGCTACTTTCACTGACTCAAGCATCAACATTTGTACCCACACAACTGCTGAGTACTTCTGCCAAAGTGCAGAGAAATTGTTTTTTTGCAAGTAATATATTAACCCTCAGACTGAAACGTAAAACAGTTAACAAACTAATGGGGTTTTGAAAGCCAGCTTTCCACTGCTGTGTCCTCAGTGTTTTCAACAGTTTATTTTATTGTAAGCACCTTTCTATTCAACCAAACTGCTAGGATTTTTGCCACAGGTCCTATATACTGTATGCTATTAATTCAGTGGGTGCAGTGCAGTGGGTGTGCAGGCAGTGAGGTGCACTAGCACAGATATGGTCTGCTGGTTGACCTTATTAGGCTATAGGAGCCCACATATCATGATTAAATGCTGCAGTGGGCTGTTCCCTGGGCAGCATCTCTCTCTTGCTGTCTGACACACATAACCAAACCAAGTTAGCATGTCGTGCTGATTAGAAATAGTAAAGTGACACTGTAGAAGACAAGCAGCACTGAGTTAATCTGTATCATTTAGTTTCCTTATTTTATGGGGAAAAGACTTTGTTCATCCATTACCATTGTGGAAAAAACTGTGAAAAAAATGTCTTGGACAAACATTTTCAGAGAATTGTGTGTTAACTTTGTTATTAGACTAAATCATAAACATAAAACATATTTTTTATGTCCGAGTGTTCTTTAACATTTCCTGTTTTTTGTGTTCCAGGTTCACCCACAGGGGAGCAGAACAGTTTGGAAAGCCTGAGCAGCAGCAACTCTGACTCCCAGTTGACCAAACGGGATATTAATAACATACTGACCACCGTGTGCTGCCAGGTGGGATGCAGGAAGAGCGACCTCACCTTCCTCTGCTGAGGCCAACTTTCTCTCTTATTCTCCAAGTTGCCAAATTAATCTGTTCTCTGAAATGTTGCCTTAGTAGATTCTGTCTAAAAACAACACGATCACTATATAGTATGCACAGTAATGCTCATATCCTCAATTGCTGTTTTTCTAATTGTTTTTGATATTTTTGTGAGTTATTACTTTAACTTGTTTGTTTGTAGATGTAAATGTGGACCACTTGAGCATTTGTGAACATGTTTCTGAACCTGAACTGGAAGATATAGTATATATATTAATTCTAATATAAATTAACCTATGAGAATTAGAAAACAAAACTAAGTGATCAGGGATGATGTTCAAGGATGCAGGACTATATCACGCCCCACTCAGACTCTGTGTGAAGAGAGGGCAGATGTCTTAGCCCAGGCCTTGTGTCCTTTATGTAAACAAGTATTCACATGGTTGCAGGTTTGTAAAATTTCCATCTCTACTTTGATGTATTTAGAGGAAACATGAGCTGTATTCTGTCATTTCACTATTTTAGTCAAATAAATGTTCTTGCACAGGGCTTACATTCTGTGAGGTGTGAGATCTTTTTAAAAAAATGCAATCCTGGACACTGGATACCAAATCGTGCTTAGTTAATTTCAGCAAACCTAGTGTCAAAAAGATCATCATTACGTCTATGTGTGACAAAACACCATAAAATAGCACCCTGGTGGCCCAGAACAAGCCATTACCACAATGTCCCTGGTTCACATTTGGCTGGGGACATAAATGTATTTTGTATGTCATACACCCTCTTTCTCCCCCTATTTCCTGTCATCTTCTTGAATGTCAACTATTATCCAATAAGTACCCCCCCAAAAATTAAAACATGACTAAAAGACTGCAGCCACGCACCTCTGTGAGGCTGTATAGGCCTTTCTTTTACGTGTTATCTCAAGATCCCCACTGCTAGTGTGTCTTAAATGTTCAGTGTGCAAGTTTTAGTGGCATCTAGTGGTGAGGCTTGCGAATTGCAACCAACAACTCACTCACCGCTCACCCCTCCGTTTGCAAGCGCGTAGGAGAAGCTATGGTGGCTGACATGCTCTGTTTACTCTTGTGCTAAATAATACGTGGGGTCCTCCATTTGCCTTATTTCTCTTCTTTTCTTACTTCTAACAAACCAGATGACTGCCACTACTATGACTACTACTTCTTTTACGTCTTGTTCATCTTCTTACGTATTCAACGTAGTGACGAAACATTCTCTATAAAGCAGTTTGTCTGTATGGTCTACTGTAGAAACATAGCGGTAGAACTTGGCGACTTCCATGTAAGGGGACTTGCAGTGTATGTAGAGAGAAATGGCTCCTTCTGAGTTAATAAAACATAACTTCATTACATAAGGTCTTTATACATCACTGAAAACATAGTTATGTATATTATGTTGCATTTCTGTCAATACATCCTCCTAAATATTATACACTGAACCTTTAAAACAACAAAAATATACAGCAAGACCACAAGTTTGTATGTATTCATGAGAAAGACTCATTCAGAATTATGCAATACAAAGATAACTGCAAACACAGACATCCAGTTATAACTTTTATTGGTTTTGGAAAGAAGCAAACTAAGTTTCTCAGTTCATCTTAGCGTTGTTATGTACTGTACAAACAGCTTGCACATGTGTTTGAGGTTAACGGTACAGAACCAAAAAGCATTCTGGCTTACAGCACACATAAACACACTCCCTGCTCTCTTCTCAACATTAATACAGGTAACTGACACTCAGCACAACGTCATTTCAGTACTATCTATCATCATAGATGCCCCACCTTTTACTTCATGCTCTGCATGCGATACTGAAATACTGCAGAACAAATTCACCACAGAGATGTTCTTGAAAATACAACTTTTGTTCCATTTTTTAACTAGATGCAAAGAAGATGTGAATTTTATACTGCAACACGACTTTCGAGCTGAAAGACATGTAACATGTAGTGTACTGGTTAAGTTAAGACAGATGCATGATAGGGGGTGCATGTGGTGGGCCTCTGTAGATAATGCTGTAGTGACTGTTGCACTGATTGCTTCAAGGTTACAGCTTCCTGTCAGCCATGTCGATCCATCGGGTCAACTAGCTGGAAGGACTGACATGACTGAAAGTTACCAAACTAATGTGGGGAGCTAAATGGCACCAATCATCATCACCTTGCTTTAACAAATTCAGTGCAACATCAGAGTAATCCACAATGCTCTTTTAGACTCTGTCTGCCCAGAAATAATGGTAAATCTGGTCAAAAATGAGATTTTCAGCACGGCTCACATCTGATGGCTTATCAGCCAAATAATCACATCTTTAAAACTAGGTCACTGAATAGGAGAACTGACATGTTGCAAATAGTCCTCAGGTCTTAAATTCAGCCTAAGATGCTTTGACGACATTTCTGAAAGGACCACGATTGGTTGCATTTAGCAGAATGCCGACATACAGTACAGTACAGAGATCTTCGGCTACACTTCACACTCACTTTTTGTTCTCCATGTTGAGTGTCAGAGCATTCAGGAAGTTCAACATCATCAGCACAGTGTTTTATACACATTAAACAATATAATATTTTTTCACTTTTATCTGTTTTAAAAATATTCAGCTTATTATCCTTAACAGAGGACTGACTGTCTGGGATACACAAACATAAAATACAAAAAAACCCCCAAAACAAACAAAAACAATAGCATTTTGGTCAACTTAACCTTGCTCCACAACCTCATTCAACTTATGTCATCTCACAGAGACCATTACGATTATGCAAAATAAAGCCATGGATTCAAGTGCTGGTTGGATGATTGGGGATGTGCTCATGATAGAGTCAGGGAGTTTAGGTACCACTGAGGTAAATGGAAACAGGGAAGAAAATACTTCAGACACGTGGTCAAAGCTGAAGAAGAACTGAATAGGTAGATGTGGGAACTGAGAAAGCTGGATGCAATGCAAGAGTGTTTTTTTCTGTTTTATCACAAGCTGGTTTGAATATAAAACAAACAAAAAAACAAAAACAAAAAACTAGCTGGTCCCAGTAAACAAATCCTGTTCCAGTAGTGGTACCACGGTCACCAAACTGATTGCTTTTGTTGTCATTGTCTTGACTTTATAAAAAGGAAAACAATTTGGAAAATATGCTGACTCACTTTGTTGCTGAGAATCAGATGAGAAGACTGATGCCACGTTCTGTTAAATGTTAAGCTGGAGTGACGAGACAGTTAGCTTAGCCTAGCCTACAGACTGGACACAGGGAAACAGTTAGCTTGGCTCTGTCAAAAGGAAGTCTGCAGTCATGATAGCAGCTCTGTGAGGCTGTACTTGGGCACAGCGTTGCTTTGAGCTAAATGCTGACCTTCTCGCAATGACAATGCTAACTTGCTGATGTTTAGCAGGTAAAATATTTAAAACCACAACTAGACATTTTTATACTTTTTTGTACAGCTTAAACAAACAAGATATCACCTGTAAATTAGTGAAATTTTGTGAAAAGTGCTGGTAAGCGGATTATTTTACCCTCAGACACAGCCAGGCTAGCTGTTTCTAGTCTTTCAGCTTTGCTAATTGTCTGCTGGCTCAAGCCTCATGTTGAACAGACACACATAAGAGTGGTATTGAACATCTCATCTAACTTTCTAAAAAAGAAAACAAATAAGCCCATTTCCCAAAATGTCAAACAGACTCTTTAAAGTGTGGACCTTGCCCATTGTATAACTAACTCTACATTAACACTGCTTTCACAAAGCATAACACAGCATCCAGGAAGATATTTATCTTTTTCTTAAATTACCCCCTCCCACCACCCATATATAGCTCAAATCTTCTGTTGCACTTGAGTTAAAAAATTATATCTGAAATAAATTCAAAAAGTATACCTTATACTGTACACGGGTTACCCAACTACACAGATAACAAAAAAGAGAGATAATTCAAATATTTATACCTTTAAGGGTTCTGAGTTGTCTGATACCATTCAAATTCTATTTGAATACACATGTTTTTTTTTACAAACAAATCATCGATAAATAAAAATAGAATGCTGTCATGTACTCTGGAGACTATCACTGCTGTCCTGGAAACAGCAGAAAGGCTATCTGACAATACGAGGAAAACACCAAACGCCCTTTAAGATATATATTATTGATTTAAAATGACACTTTGTACACTTCTTTTGTTCTGACGGGAAAACATATTTTCTTATTTTGCAACCAGTACATTGATTTATCATTGCAGCTGCCTAACTCACTAAAAACCTATCCATGTCTGTATATTCCAGAGAAAGAAAATACCAGTTTGATTGACTGATCAGTGCATTTATATTAAAAGTCATGTGACCCTGTAGTACCAGCATGTGATGCATGAAAATCTAGATTTTTTTTGTAGTTACTTGATCCTATGTTTCAGCTGATCGCAGACAAGTGCCATCAAGAAACATCTTTTATTTAACAGTTTGTGTCAACACACTGGTCAAAATGCATCAGTGTGCATTTACTTCCAAGACACGCAATGGTCTCTGTCAGTGTGAGACAGTGAGGACAGCCGTCTCAGGCATTGAGCTCAGACTCTGACAGAAGGATTATATATAGAGCTGATTTTTGTTAAATCTGCATGTATAACTTGCTGTTTATTTTCCTGTGCCCTGCTTCAACTTTAACTAGTCTAACTTTAGATGCATCAGAGGTTGAGGTGAGTGTCTCACCACAAAGATCTTACTCAAGGGTATTTTTACAGTCAAATCTTTCTGGACTTGAGACAACAAAAAGCATGTCATCCAGAGTAAAAATCTGGTCGAAATACTTCCTGTCCATGTCTTCGGTCAGGCAGCTGCAGTGAAACTTTAAAAAAACACCACCACACATTGACCAGAGGAGGATAGAGACAGAGGCACAGACTTCAGAGAGAGGAAGAACCCAGGTGTCTAACTGCAGCAATACAGATGTTATGAAATGAATACAAATACAATTATTACATGACCTAAAACAGCTCCACGATGCTATATGCAAGTTATACAATACTGCTGGGTAGGCTGCGGACCGGTCGTGTGGGTTCAGAAAAGGTTAATGGAAAGTCTGTCTGGTGCCAGTTTGTCCTCTGTCCTTGGTGTCACTCTCAGTCCACTGCCATTGTTTTGTTCAACAGTGCTGTTCTCAGCAGCACAGTTTAGTTGTCCGCCAGGTATTTTCCTGAAACACATTAACAAAATTATTAGGTATTGTTTTAATCATTTATGGACCTTTCATAGATCTATTGTTAACTTTACAGACAGTTACAACACTAAGTACAAGCTGCATTATTACATAATAATGGAGGTAATGATAATGAACTGAATGCATAAAAAATGTATGAACATGTTCTAGAGGTAATTTCACACGGCTGTTGACTGACTTATAATTACATCAAAGTAAAAGATCCATATTATAACAAAATGAGTAACAATTATCTACCCTTTCAGTAAGTACATTATACCTTGAACCACAAATTAGCAATATATTAGAGTATAATACACAGATTTGTAAGTATAAACAAATATCAATAAGTTTTCTAACTTAAAAAATCTGACTAATATTCCTTAACTTTCATTGATATTTTACCATGATGATGATCAATACTTTTTTTTATGTGGTAAATAAGTGAAATCAATCAATCAAAACAATTTAAAACAGTTTAAAAAGGCTTGATCTACTGGATGAGTTGGCAGAGCTCTGACTGGACAATAGTGTCGGTGATAATTAATGTTAGGTGTGAAAAAGACAATTAACCAAACTGACCTGCGGCAAACCTCTTCTTGATGAGAGAGAATCGGTATCCAGGCCCAGCCAGCTCAATATCACAGCCTGACAGGGTGCTGCCCTCACTGGTGAACTGCACCGCCAGTGGAGCCGGTTTACTGGGGCCTTCTGTTAGCTGAAAGCGTGCTAACAATGATCCCACACCTGAGGGAAGAGGGCTAATTTAGAAAGATGTCTGTTGGTCACTATGAATTCCCAACATTTCATAGACAGTGACAGTTAAAAGATTCAAGTGTAAACAGCATTAGAAACTATTTTGGGTGGACAGCAGAAAGAGCTGTTCATTCTGATTTAACAAAATTAAATGCAGGTAGCAGCTCCAAACAACTACAGACGTTGCTATATTTAACTTTTCATTGAGAGAACATGGTTTTATATCAAAGCCTGTTCAATGTCAAAATGTTTGCTGGATACAGATTTCAAGAAAGCGCTGAATGAGATACACCTGAAAAGAACATTACAAATTATCAGAGGACATTGTTTTTGAAAAGTGCTCTACAAATAAAGATTATTATTATTATTATTATTATTAAACATATAAAAGAGAAGATACCGAGTATTACATTTAAAAGTAATCCATGTTCAAAAGAAGCAGGGCTAAACTTATCAGGCTTGAGCCTGGTTACATTTTCTACCTTAAAGAAATCACATAATCTAGTTTACTGTCCTTCTCCTGATGACCAGGTAAATCTCACAGGCTTTTCTGTTTCATAATATATGAAACAGGCCAACTATATAAAGTACATAAGATGACATCGGATACACAAATCAGACTATTCTTCATCAGTTGAAAATAAGTGTAAATATTCCACTGTAGATGTTACATCAGGCACTGATTTATTTTACCATTAGAGAGTAATATAAGCTCTAGAAACATACACATACATTACACACAGCCACAGTGCAGTGAGACGGTTTGCTAAAGTAATTGTAAGACCATTTGTAGAAGGAGGACCCGACTAAGGGCCCCATCTTTTCCTGAATGGCATCATGTACTCTACTTTTCCCCCTATAGCCTGCTTAGCTGCATCCTAGTGCAGGTTCTAGGTCAGTGTTTAAAACTGTCCAGCTCTACATGACTGCAGAAACTCAAGTAAGATCACATCTGTATATTGTTTAAGCTCTATATACTTTTCTTTTTAACCTTGGTCTCTTTCCACTTTCTTATCTATGGTTGTCTCTTTTTCAGTTGTTGTACAATTTTTTTTTTGGACATAAACCAGGGCTATGGATAATTCATATGGATAATTTCATTTTTGAACACAGAGGCCCAACTCTGAATAGGAATTCAATCTATTCCAGGCTGATGCAATTAGAGTGAGTCTTCAAAATTGGTTAAGATATACAAAGATAGGCTGCATTACATCTGATTCTAATAAAAATAAAAGCAGGCGTCTCTCATCAATCACCATAAGGCTACATGTCCATCCATCCATCCATCGTCAACCGCTTATCCTGCGTACAGCGTCACATGTTACTTTTATTATATTGTACATACCTCCATTTTCAGATTTCTGTGAGATATCAGGAATCTTCCAAAGGATTCTTTGCTGCTCCGCATTCCTATCAGAATAATAAGAGGAGAGAAAACATTTGTGAAGCTTCTGAAGACTAAGTAAAGTAAAAACTGTGATATGGAAATGTGATGTGTCCTTTCTTATGGCAACAATGCACAAGTATGCAGTTTACACTAATCACTGGTATGATGGTGATATGAGCATCAACATTGTGTACAGTCAGCATAACTAAAATTAAGGTAAGTACAGAAATCCTTACCTGGTATTAATATTTCTGTTATTCCAAATATATACAATATTGTACTGAAGTATACATTCTGTATACTGCCCAGTAATCTAAATAGTACTAAACACTAAAACAATGTTTAGACTGTACCATGCAGCAGGAGGTAAGACAGCCTGTAGTTTTGAAACCCCTCCGTTGACAGGGACGAGGAATTGGACATTGTTCAGGGCCATCGGCGTTGTCATGGCCTCCCCGTTGTATTTGTAGTCTATCCTCAGGTCAGTGCTCGTGGGCTCACATCTCCAGCTCACCGCTAGATTCAGAGGAATTGACTGGATCCTCTCCGTGGACACCTGCACACAGATAGAAAATATGCAGATGCAAATTATTATAATGCATTATAAAGCATTTTGTCTACCATTTATGGATCCCAACATAATGTTACGTTGTTCCTACAGTGCAGTTAAGCACCCCCAAAAAAGACACGTTCAATGGTTAATAGTTGCAGCTGATGCTTTGCAGAATGGCCTCTGCAGGGAAACAGTTGAAGATTTCGGGGCTCTTAGCTCAGTGATGTGAAGTTATAACTCCCGAGGGCAGAGCTTACCTGATACTTGAGCATGTCCACGTTGTAGTATGTTGCCTGTGGCTTCTGCTCTGCCACCTTCTTTAAATGGGATATCAGGTTTGGCATGTTCACCCAGAAGTCCTTGGTATCAGCCTTGGCTTGTGTGGTGGTGTCGCTGTTGGGGAAGCACATAGAAAAGGGCAATCAAAAAACAGACATTTTATATAATCACAGTGATTTGTCAAACCTGTTGAATTTGCTGTCTCTTGTGTAAAATAAGAGTGCAGCACCCAGCTTCTAAAGGAAGGTTTGACCAGAAACTCATTTTGGCACTAATAAATTTGGAAATTTAAATTAGACAGGATTTGGTCAGAATTTTAATTTTTACAATGAGCCACAAGAGGTCTGATTTTATAACTATGACTTTTATAACTATGCAAGGCTTAGGGGAATACATTTCTTAGGGGAATACATTTTATTAATTATATATGATCCTCCGTTATTTTAAAAGGAAGATCCTTTGTAATGAATAATAATTAACAAATTTTTTTGGTGAGCTTATTAACAATAAAATTAGTTTATGGGTCCCAATTAAGCATTATTTGAGTATTTTACAGCTGGAAATATGAATCCAACAATTAAAACCAAGTTTGACAAACAAAAGACAAATAAAAAAGCTAATCTCTTTTCAAGGTAGTTGGTCTGAGTGACTCAGTACATAGTCAGCATTAGTTCCGAGATGATCTCAATAAAGTTTATTTATCCTCACTGGACTTCACTTAACAACCAAACTCATCCATATGGGATCATTTCTCAGACAGTTTTGCCAATGTTAACTTATAAACACTCGTAACATATTAAAAAATTAGGGTGAATTTCCAGGCTGGACAATAAAGCATTTAGCGTAGAACTACGCATGTGAGGAGGATACCATAAGAGTTATGGTGTAATCTTATCTTTATAACTGTGCATTTATTAAAGAGGGAGGTGTTGAGTTCACAGCGGATTCATTACCAGCAAAGGAGCTGGGGGTTAGGCAACACATGCTCCAGTCGGCTGTAGTTGGTTATGCTGAAGGTTAGCACGGCAGGGGACGGGTTATTGGCAAAGTGCCGCGTGATTCCCGCCGGAAACGACAAAACCATCTCACCTATGATCTTCATAACACACCTGAGAGGAAAAGGAAGAGAAGGAGTGGGTTATATAGAGTGTAAAGAATGGACAGAAACAGACACTCTACATATACAGTACACACTTATTTTGTTGATTTCTCAGTTTTGATTCGAGTTTTATTTCTTAATAAAACGTTGCAACGGGACAGCTTTAAGCCCACATATGTTTAATATACTGAAATATCTTAATAAAGGTTTTTGCCCATGAGCCAGGATCACAGCCTTCATATAGTCATTCTTTTGTACATTCTTTTATAATAGTGTTAACACTTTAAACCAGGAGTGGCCAAACCATTTTTTAAACATAATCAGAATATGGTTTGAACTTAATTCTAATAAATTGGACCGTATGTAAATTGCAAATCCAAATTTGAACACTAGATGTCGCTGTCATCTTAAACAACTACAAACCCGCCTCATCATTGCATGTCTTAATTTGAACAGTAGTCACTGCCACTTGACCTACAATGATGGGTTACTAATGGTCTATAACAACATTTACTTCAGTTAATTAAACATGGTGGAACTGAAAAGACAGAAAAGAGCGAGTGAATGACAATATCAAACTATATTTTCTGTAAATAGCCCACAATCACAAAGGTTTGGCCACACCTGCTCTAAATCCTCTATTTATAGCATGTGTAATAATGCATTTTTAACACACTATAATGTAGTTGTAAACAAATGTAAGGACATTTTTAAGTCAATGCATTTGTTAACAACTAATGTATTGCTTCTCCTGTGAAGCCTCTGTAACTAGTGTATAAACATATAGTGAATGTTTTGACAACATTAATAATTTGTAGATTGTTAACAATACTTCTTCCCTCTACATGATAAGTGAGCAAGCTCCATCTGTTGCTCCAGGAGAAATCTATAGGGCTATAAAATATTTTAAATATTAAATCATTGTGAAGTAAATAATAACTATATAAGAAAATATATAATGAAACTTTACATTTTTAAATTATTTAAGAAATGATTAAAACTCAACTCATTATTATAAAAATATTTCATTCTTCTAAGGTTTTACAGGAATTAATTTTTATATTTTACATATTTTCAAAAGTCTGTTTTTATTTTACAATCACAGTTACCCAAATAAAACATGTATTTCATGTTACTTTTTAGGACTGGTGTTGTCACTGTCATTTCATGGTTAAACCAATCACATGCTAGAATTAGCTAGTTAGCACCTATAACAATGTTACAGGAATTCTGAATCAACTATCTAGTTATTCATTATTAACCAGGCTGCACATACTACCTACCTAGCTGGCTAACTAGTTAACGCTAGGCGGTGTTGTGACCTTGTATTGTGACCAGCCTAGAGCCCATGTCCACCAAAGTGTTTTTTTCTGACGCCAGCGTCTTTTTTTCTTTTCATTCCAATGGAGCGCAGCGTTTTTACTAGCTGGTAAAAACGCCAGGAGCGTGAGGAGGCACTGAGCGATTTTTCCTCTGCGAGTAGGCACATCGTTTCGTTCAAGATCAGATGTGCTCGGTGAGGTGTTTGCCCCGCCCCTCCTGCACTGTGATTGGACGGCTGGGTAAAAAGTGACAGTGACGAGCGCAGCGTTTTTCCCAGAGTTGAACATTTTTCAACTCTTGGCGGCCCCACCAGTCTCCACCAAAGCGTTTTTTGCCAGCTGAAAACGCCACCTGCTGTTCTGAAAACGCCTAGCCGGGAGCGCTAGGGTGCATTTTGGAGGCGCAGTGTTTTTTTCCCGAGAGGCTGTGGTTGCTATGATACATAATTTCCGTGGAGGCGATGTGCTGAAAGTAGGGTAGCTACTTAATTTGAGTGAATGTAAAAATGTCACCCCAAAGTTTGTACGCCAATCTGCTCTGGCCCTTACTCTGCATGAAGAGAAGGCTGAAACATGAGCACAGACTGTCCGTACGTGGGTTCATGAGATTTTGCGGGCGAGGACGCACCTCGGCGAGTACACACATCGTTTCGTTCAAGATCGGATGTGCTCGGTGCGGTGTTTGCACTGTGATTGGACGGCTGGCTAAAAAGTGACAGTGACGAGCGCAGCGTTTTTCCCAAAGTTGAACATTTTTTAACTCCCGGCGACCGGAAAAAAACGCTCAGCGCCTCATCAGGCTGCTGGCGTTTTTACCAGGTGGTAAAAAGCAGCCTGGGGGTAACAAACACGCATACAGATGCACATGCTCACATTAAAATAGTCAGAATAAGGAAAGAAACACTCAACCGATGTCCACAACTAAAAATCCACTAAACTGAATTGTAGCCATTTACTATGGTTTTCTAGTTGTGATAGCCAAAGTCTTGGCAACATGAAAATCATCAAATCATCTTCACAATCTTTTTCAAACCAGGTAGTAAAAACGCAGCGCACCCATTGCACTGAATTGAAAATAGATGCTTTGGTGGACACGGGCCCTTAGAATGTACGAAGCTTTTTGTTGACCTACTTGCTGGGGTCAGCTCCTTTAAAGAAGGCATTGACCGTCTCTGTGAATGCGGCGGCCACAGGGAGAGTGTCCTGAGCCCCCATGGTGAGAGGACTGGGCCCTCTGGAGCAGCCTGGGGGTAACAAACACGCATACAGATGCACATGCTCACATTAAAATAGTCAGAATAAGGAAAGAAACACTCAACCGATGCCCACAACTAAAAATCCACTAAACTGAATTGTAGCCATTTACTGTGCTTTTCTAGTTGTGATAGCCAAAGTCTTGGCAACATGAAAATCATCAAATCATCTTCACAATCTTTTTCAGTTGATGTGAACCTGATCTCAGTTTCACATCAATAGTACAATAGCTTCAACCCAGTATAAAAAACAGCCAACAAAGGTCAATAGATTAAGAATAGACACATGTTCCAACTCCCAAACCAGGAAACTACACTCTTCCTAACCAATAGTGTGTGAATGAAATGAGGAACAACACATGAAACAACACGAAGTGTGCAAACTAATGTGATGAAACTATTTGAAATGGGAGGAAATATTGGTGTTAGTAAGGTGGCATGAAAACAGCAGATTATGTGCATAGAGGATACCCATTTCTCTCTGCTCTTTGACTGTGAAATAGCAGAATTAAACACAATTACGTCCGGTATACGTCCCTCAAATGCTTGGATTTTTACACAGTACGTTACACACTGACATCTGCTTGTAATTGAATAAGCACTGGAAGATGAGAAAGGAAAGACAAGAGGCAGACATAGAGAGAGACTGAGAAGAGATGTGCATGCTTATTCCAGACATGCTGTTGAAGCTGAATTATCCTGACAAGATCAAAGAAGATCAGACAGTCTAAAGATTAAACCAAGAACCAAAGGACCAAAAGGACAAAAGTGACGATAAAGAGATTAGTAAAGAACACGAAGAATGTGGTCAGTGCAGATGAAATGAGAATGACCAATGTCAGGAAGAGAAGGTAGATGAAGAAATGACAAGGCTACATAGTTGACTGCATGTAAGGGGGGTCAGCCAAGAGTTAGCATGGTGTGGGTTAGGGTGATGAAGGGATTGCAAAGGAGGAAGAGGAAAAGAGGGGAGGGAGGAAGGAAAGAAGGGGCAGGGGAGGGGCGAAGCTTGCACAAATGAGCCTCAAAAAGAGTGTGTATGCACGCTACCCTGGTGCAGAGAAAACTTACCTTCAAAGGTTAAATAAAACTTCCCTCTGTCAAACCATACAAGGGATGGCTGGTCATTCTCTGTGTGGGGTCAAGGGGTGGAGGAAGGTGGGTCAGGAGAAAAGGATGAGGAGGAGGAGGAAGAGGGATGAAAGGGAGGGAAGTGGGTGAGGAGGGGTGAGGGGGGGAGGGAGAGAAGGACAGTAGCGTGAGTCTCACATGGCAGGTCTATCACATGTCACAGTGAGGTGAAACGTGGAGGTGGAGGCCAGGGGACGAAGAGGGACAGAGGACCGAGACAGAACATGTTTTTCTTTCTTTGGTTCGTGCTTGCGTGTGTGAGGAAAGGCAAAAGTCAGGTGGAGTGAAGGCCAGGTGTATGCGGACAGTCAATGTGGAAGATGCGCAATGCAGGAGCGGAGGTCTGAGGGAGGACAACCAGAAGAGACCATAAAGTGGTTGCCAGTTTCAGGGGCAGCATCTACTGTTTTCTCTAGAATGCAACATAATAAAATAGTAATTGTATACCAGCTGATGCTCCAATTATGGCAATTTAGAACTTTCTTCATCAGTGGCAGATTATTCATACCGCTTTTGTCTTTCTTTGGCTTAATGTGCTCACATTTTCCTCCAGGCCTCCACTTTTCAAATTATTAAATGGATGGAAACACAATGGCACCTATAAACACACCCTGCAGGAGGCAGCCGTGAGACTAAGACCAGAGAGACGGGACAAGGAGGGACTATGGTGCACAGAGATGCTGCATCCCTATTTCAGGGGCTGGATAGTCCAAAGGACACAGACTATGTATGTGAGTACTCCAGAAGACCTCACTAAGCGCATTCAGACAGTCCCGGTTAACAGCTGTCCGGACTGATATGCTGGCCAATATTATCTTATTGCAGATTAGTGGTAGCGGTGTATCTGTCATCAGGTAAATAACAAGAAATTGCAGTACAAATATACTTCAGGAAGTTCGTATATGTGCAGTATCAAGTCTATTTTTAAACTGCGAAATATGCTGCTCAGTTAACTTATGTTATGTGTTTATGCAAAAAAAGAGGATGGACAGCTGGCGAAAGGCATACTGAGCGAAGCATCCTGGTGGCCTCGTGGATGGGACTCATTCCATGTGTGCAGAGACAGCCTCTCAGAAATATCACAAATATTTAAACAAAAACATTTGAGAAGGGAAAATGATTGCACTTGTCAGAGGCATGTTAAACCTTTTTTTAAGGAGGAAAAAGGTTAGGAATGAGTGGATTACAGGATATTGCAGGCTACAAAGAACACACTGGTTCTGTCCTCAAACTTTGGGCAAAAGAAGGGCTCATTTCTCAGCTGCATTTGGAGGAGCTTTTCAAAAGAGACAAGCTTTTCTGGCCAATCATGCTGTATTTGGTCTATGGATTCAGATTTCGGAAGAGCCAGCCCCTAAACTGGGATGCAACTTCTGGGAATTGTGTTTACATATGGCACTATCTCCTAAAATAATAAAAATGCAGGGAAAAGATGACGCTCTCCAACGTCATGTGTGTGCATTAAAATCATGTCAGTTTTTCAGTTTGACACAGAAAAACTTGGCAAATATCCTGGCAGAGCAGAGTAGGCTTGTTCTATTCCACACTTTTCTTTTGGGGTCCCAGTTAAGGTGTGTCGTTAAGTGAGTGGACTGAGTGTTAGGTGATGGAACGATGAGAGCAGCGCAGTGCTTCATGAAGGGAGAACAAAAGGGCAGGTGTTTGGGCCCGTATTTTTCTATGGCTGGAGAGTGCATGAGTGACAGGTGCAAAAGGTGGGCGTCAGGGGTCAAGTGTGGGAGTAGACACTTTAAGGCCAGTGGAGATTGGTTGAACTTGAGACTGTGTCATGCTACTCCAGCAGTAGAGAGAGGATTGCATGAATACCAAACAGCTGCTGCTGTAAGTCTAATTCGGCCTAATTCTCATGCCAGACTTCAAACGACTATGTGAGCAGCAGCTCTGACCTAACGATATTTGTGAGAGTATGTGTTTGAATGTATGTGAGAAAGAAAGAAAAAGACAGACAATATGGATCTCAAGGGCCCACAGATAACGAGCTCTTCAGATATGCTCACTGAACACACAGCACACAAACACTAATACACTCTTGTGGTGCAGACTGAGAGTAAAGGTATCTGGGACTGACTGCACTCTGCACACATACAGAATGTGTCACTAAGAGAGAGAAGAGACAGGAGGTTGCCATGGTGACATGGCGAGACAGCCAATGGTGCAGTCATAAAACAGAGAGAAAAGTCTCACGAGCGGCCAGATGGGCAAAGGGGAAGACACTCAAACTTTTCATAAAAAATAAAAAAAAAGTAGGCAATAGATACTGCTTTTTGTGTTACCACAGCTTTAATTTTTTCTGGCAGATTTGTTTCTGTGGATTAATGAGGGGATGAGAGAGTAATATATGCAGATACGACAGAGAGAGGGGCCATCATATCTATTAAATGCTTGGGAAATGTGTGGAAAATGTATGAGTTGGCAAGAGCAAAACAATGAAGAGAAATGACGATTTCACTGAGAAGTGCTGCCACGTTTGAAAAGAAAAAAATGAATGTGTGGTATGTCCCTACATCTATGAGCCAAAATAGACTAGTCAAATAAGTAGGTATTAGGATAATGACACAAAGATGGTCTTCCGGTATATCTCATAATTTGAGATATATTTAATTTGAAATGATTCACATGAGGCTGAGTCTTTCTGAAACAAAAAAAAGACCCCAAAAGAGTGTGTCACTTTCCCAATACCTACACTTTTTGACTGACATTAATCGAGAAAGCACAAAAACACTCAATGACGGCCTTTACCCTTCTATGTCAATTGCACTCTGGGTAAAGAACATCAAACAGATTGAACACTCCTCCAACCCCTTTCCCAACCCGTGCCCTTTTCCTCTCTCTGAGCGGATCGTTACTGTACCTGCAAATGAATCAAAGTGTCTCTCAAAGGTGGGCAGTTTGTCTACATAAGCATCGTCTTCTGACAAGCCAAAGGACAACAAAAAAGAGACAGACAAACAGCAAAACAAAAACAAAGCAAATCAAACAAAGGAAAAAAGAATTCAAACTAAAAATCAAGTACTGTCATGCACACAAAAATGAAACGGTAAAAAAAAACACAAAATGATCCATCTTAAACACGAATGAGATGAAAGTGTCAAAATCAAACAGCAATGGAACTTGAATAGGGGCGGTTCTTTGTTAAAAAGGTCTCTGTGTCCTTTACATGTTACTGTCAAGTCCACCCGCTTTTTAGACTATCAGCAAAGTCAAAATGAATAAACACACAAATAATATTTTTTCATGTGACAGTCTGACTCTTATTATTTGTCTCCGCAATCTGTTTAAAAAAGCAACCTCCAACCAGGGATTATATTCTGTTTTTATGTAACTGCTGCTGCCCCCAGAATGTGTATTTTTTAAAACTACGATGACTCAGCCATGTTACAGTCTACTGAGATTTGCTATTATCCACTAACTCTGCACTGCAAGGTCCTTCAACACCGACTCTAAAGTTAGATCAAGGAGTATAAACAGTTGTTGTGCCATTAATTAATTAAAGGAAGGTTTGCCAAGAATGTTTGCGCACCCTGCTTCACATTCTCACCTCCCACTTATAATGTGTGTGTGTGAGAGAGTGAGTGTAAATATGAATTTGTGTGTGTCAATCTAAACCAGACAATATTTACGTGCAGTTCATTAATCCATTGTATCAAAATTATCTTCAGTAGTAATTCATTCTTATTTTAAATGTATAGAAATCAAGATACAATTGATTGTATTCATGTTTTAAGTATTTGTTCAAATCTGTCTTGAGATAGTAACTGCTTACATGCATGGCTTTGAGTGATGTATGGTAATTAGATGCCACAACAGGCTTTGGCACTATATTACTGGTTTATTTATCATTGCCAGGAAACCATTTCCAGAAAAAACAAAAGTAAAAAATGAAGAAACACTCACTCCACACAAACTTGGAGCACAAGTAAGGACATGGTCGGTGCATAAAATCAATAATGAACTTTTAATATTAGACATAGACGTTTATATTCGGCTAGCTCCTGTGACCACAGCCGTTGGGCGAAAGGCTGCACAGCTCACACTGTAAGGAAGCACACACCTGACACGGACACGGAGAGCTCTTTACCGACGGTGGGGGTGGTGGCGGCACTCAGGGAGTTGGTGGAGGAGATGGAGGAGGTGCTCTCGGCTCGTGCCAATGGGGCGATGGGAGGAGGGCTGGCAGAGTGGACCGGCGGGCTGAACGGACGATTCTAAAAAAGATAAAAACACAGTAGGAAAAAGACAGATAAGAGTGAAAGAAAATAGAAGTTTTTTTGCATCTTATGTCATTGCCATATTTTTGGTAAACACATTTTACCATCAAACATTGTTTTGAGTATTTAAGTTTAGCTCTGATTGTTATGGACTTTGTTAAACCTGGAAGCCTTTGGTCTAAGTTCACCATTTAACCATAAGCAAGTGTTTGGCTTTGAGAGGCTTTGTGACTGCAGTGACCATATTGTATAGGTACTAAAGCTTAAACAGCTGACAAAATACCAAAACACAACCATCTCAATCAGAAGTGAAAATATGATACTGCAAGACTTACTGCATCTCCTATTGAGGGTTTCCCTGGAGGAAGTTTAGGCCGTGAAGGGGGTCGAGGTGGAGGTGGTGGTGGGGTGGGGTTAACAGACGAAGGAGTGGCAGGTCGCACCGGAGAGGAGGAACCTGCAGAGCAGAACAGAAACATATAGGGATTATGTTATGAAACTCTACAGATCTTTTCAGATGCTTTAAGGTCTTTTCAGTCAGGGATTGACTGATGTGCCACGTAATTCATTTTCAGTGAGAGGCGAGCGGGCAGGTAGGGAGACACAAGCAATCTGACAGTAGTCGGTAGTGCTCCTCTCATGCACACGCCTGTCCGCTGCCAGAGTTGAATGGTCTTGAACTTTTTTCTATGTGACCTGCAGTGCAAAAAATGGACAAGAGACTGATCATATAAAGCTGTCTTCTAAACAGTTATCACGACATAAACAGGAGGACTTTCACATAGCACCGGCGCAAGACGGGATGTATCAGGTGACATTACGTACAGTTATGACTTAAGCTAAAATATAGTTGTACTGGGAGGGATACAATAGTGTGCAGAAGCCGTTTCCATGGTTACTACATATGGGGTGTATAGTCGCACAGCGCTTGTCTATCTATTCACATGACGAGCAGTGATACTCAGTGATCCAAGCGGGTATGCAGGAGGTGTGTCGCTTTGCTGGAAACAGTTACAAATGCAGAATAGATCCAGGTTGGACAGAATCATTTTCAGACACAATGGCAAGCATATGTTGGATTTTTTGTTTAGGACAGTGCTATATGCATTCGGGAGCTACTAAAATTTCCCACGACCATTACGTTAATCAATGGGCTACTAATTTTCACTCACACACTATTCTGGCAATAAATGTACTGTGTCGGTTACAGCGTGTCAGCTTCTCAAGACCAAGAAAAGTCTGTTGTTTTCCCAACTGCTGGAAAAGTGAAGCCACTTTGCGCTAAGTTAGCTAACATCTCCCCTCCCCTTCAGACTGCGCATCTGAGCAGGAAAGCTTATACAGTAGGCTACGTCTTTTGGCTGCTGTTACATTAGCTCAATTTACAGAGTAACTGGTAGCTGTATTTTATTACTACCTACTTGTCCAATGTTGAGAACATCAAGTACAAACTTAGACTAAACTGGTGTAGCCACAGCTCTGTCCTGTACAGACTGGTTCATCCTAAATTATTTTTCAGGTTTCAGATGAGTCTGAAAAAGTGGTTGTTAGGAAAAGAAAGGACGGTGGTGACTGGAGGACCTGAGGTTAGTAAAGCAAACTAGTGAGGCAAACTAGTCCTTTTAAGCTAATGAGGAGACGTTTCTTTTTGAATTTGAATGTGCAAATAAAATGCACCTCAGACGGGAGGTGGTTTCTTGTGTTGCCTATGTTTTATTTATAATAATGTCAGATTAACAGATAAATGTCAATAAAGACACAAAAGGATCTATAATGATTCTGAGGTCATATTAACAGGGTTTTCCTGCCGTTAAGGCTTAGGGGGTGATGCCCAAAATATGCTGTGCCATAAATGTAAAATCACTGTGGAGAGCATCATGAAATGACATATTTTTCATTGGAAAATGTAAAATTTTCTTGGGGCAGGACCCCCAAATCCCCCACCCCCTTGACCATGACTACTACAACCACCACCAAAACATTCATCTATAGCTCATATAAAACTGGGAAAACACTGATATTTTAAGCTATTCTAATGTGCATTGCATGCTCATACACAGAAGAGCAATGCTGCTGAGATATGTTGTGTTGGGGTTTTATATTCAGACATACTACGCACTACGCGTGCAAAAAAAAAATTGCTTCACCTCCACTGCTACAACTCCATCCTAGGGGAAACACTGTAGGAATATAATTTCTTCCATCCAATCCAATTTATGATTATATTATTCAACTATAAAGAAGGGATGCCTATACTTAAGCATCACTTTCTGTTTTGCAAACAGATTAGTTTTTTATACAAAAAGGCACAGATTAAGTTTCAATATTATTGTTTCACTTCAGTCCTTGAAATTGTTTTTTCCACTTTCATCATGAACACCTATATAGAGGATTAAGAACAGACAACCTTCTATTTTACGTTATTTTACCACTGACAGAAAAAGATTTTCTGCATAACATGGACAGCTGAAATGGTCATACAGTAACTTTAAAAGGTAGAATTCCTTCAATTCAACTCTTAACTCACAGTACGTGCAATAAAAATTAAAATGTTCTACCAAAGTGAAGTCTGACATTTAACTATGAGTCAGTCCGAACAATAGCCTCAGCTAACATAACCCACTCTGCTGCAGAATGGTGGTGTACATCTAAGCCAAAATATGACCTCTTTTCCACAGATAAAAATGCCAAATCAAGGTTGAGTTTAACAACAGAGATGGTGCAATCAGCTGAAAGGAAATATGGAGATGATGGTGAAATGCTGGAAATACAATCTCTTCTCAACTCCAATCAAACTACAAACTATTGCTATTGATATTACTAACCACCTGACTGGTTTGATGTACTACTCACCGCTATTCGTGCCACCAGCTCCAGATGTAGGACCTGGTGACGACACCACCGCCCGGTATGTGGGAGGAGGAGGTGGGGGAGGCGTTATCCTGCTCCCCTGGCTAGCATCGTTGGGTGAGGTGACAGATTCACCTCCATCCTCTTTGGGTAGGGTGGAGTCTGTGGTTTTGGACTGCTCCTCTTCAGACAAGACAAGAGGTGGTGGGACGGGGCGTGGTGCAGATTCCTCAGCAGGAGGAGTCACTGCTGGAGGGGTTCTTGCTTTGGGAGCAGGGGCTGGTGGGACGCTGGTGGGTGAGTCGAGAGGAGGGGGAGAGGAAGTGGGAGGACACGCAAGCTCCTTTGGTGGCGCAGGGGGTGGCGAGGTGGCGTGTGTGAGAGGATTTTGGTCCTCAGATGTAGAAGGGCTTGAGGGTACAGGAGGGCCAGCAGGCTCTGAAGGAGGTGGGGAGGTTGGTAGAGGGGGCACAGGTTCTTCTTTTTGGGGAGAGGAGGTAGGGAGAGGTGATGCAAGGTCTTCTGGATGAGGTGGTGATGTAGGTAAGGGTGGGGCAGGAGATTCAGGTGGAGGTGGGGAGGCTGGTAGCGGAGGTGCTGGTTCCTCCGGTAGAGGCGGCCGGCCAGCAGACTCTTCACTAAAGCAGACCCACACGTCACCTGTATCCTCACCAACAGGGGGGGCCTGTTCTGGTCCAAAAATGTTGTCTAAGTCAGCTATTGAAGGTTTCCTGGTGGAACTGTCTGCTTCTGTTGACACTTCTGAAACACAGACAAACAAACAGTGACCAATCAAAGTCTGTGTTTGCAGAGGTGCTCAGTGTGTTTACACACAGAGATAAAACATGACGGACAGACAGACAGAAAGTTAAGGCAGAAAGTTGGAGATTAAGTAGCTGGTGAGATGAGAAATGTAAAGGTTTGTTTAACCTGAGGGTTGATAGTGTGATATACCAGGAGGCAGAAATAGATAAGACCTCTTACCAGCTTCATCCACAGAGGCAGAGCCAGTCGACGGGGGGGAGGTCGGGACATTCTTGGGTGGAAGAGGAGGTGGAGCTGCAATAAAATTATCAGTGCAACAATGAATAGTCTTATAACAGGTAGCTCCAGGAGATTATTGTCAATGATTGCTGTCAGTGGTAATTTATATTGCTGAAGACTTTTCACGTCACTGCAACTTATGGTGGGCTATACAATGCCAAATAAAATACTATTGTTTCATGGTATAGCCTATAACACACAATCTTGTCACAAAAGCTTTGAAAGTTTGGATCCATCCATGACAGGTATTATGACACCTGCCAAAGACAACCACAACAACTTGAGGAGACGGGATCATCCAACAAATCATTGACCATGCAGCACAGTAAATTCAGTCATTACCATGCCAAATGCAAGAAGGCAGCGAGGGAGGAGGGATTGGTGCAGTATGGCATACAGGTATGCCATGTAACAAACTACAACCAACACTGAATCATTCGGTTGTGAAATGGCTGATGAAATGAAACAGGTTAAAGCTGGCTGTTTGAAAAGAGAAGCAAAATGTCATTGCCACACAGTTGTTTGATCAGGTCAGAGTGCAGGTCCGTTTGTTAGTCGGATGATGGGGAGTGGTTAATGAGGTGAGCTGATGGAGCTGTGCAGTCATTCTAGGGAGAAGAGCAACAATATGCGACATGATATGCAGGGAATTATAGAACTTACTTCCTGTAGGGAAGGATCTTGTCAAAGAGGATTCAGGCTCTGAAAGAGGAGTCCCCCACACATCGGACTCACCCAGACCCACTAAGTTCAGCAGGGGGACAGAACAGGCCATATCAAGGGTATTAGAACCAAAACACGCAATGGTTTCTGATTCTTTGGGGCTTAAAAAGTATTAGGTGTAAGAGGGTAAACAACACAGATCAGCACATCAATAAAATATTTAAATAGAGGAAACAGATTTCAAGCCTCAGTGGCAAAATCTGCTGTAACACTAGAACGCCTAGGGGTGTTTATTCAACTAATTTTTAGTCAGCGGTTTGTTGTGTTGTTGAATTATATTATACAGGTTTTTCTATTATTTAGTTGGGCAACATAACAGAAACACGTCTCAAGATGATGCAATACAGTTCAACAGCACCAAACAAAGCTCATCCTCCATATGTACCATAAAGTTGAATTAAACATCTCTAAAACAGATTTACTGCAGGATATAGACAGCACTGGTTTTAGCTACGTGTACCCAATACACTGGCAGCTTAGTGTATAATGTACAATATATATTACCAGTAATATATATAGTGGGCAAAATATTAGAACCTGGATGTATTGTCTGTCTTCAGCACCTGCACCTGATCTCAGAGTGTCAAATTACATATATGATGATGACATACTTGATCCATATCACATAAAAAGTTACCATTTGCCAATGTCATGCACATAGCTCATAGTTTTATTTGTTTGAATTAATGTATAAAGTATGAAATTTTGTGTCTAGTTGATGTGAGTTATCCCTGACATGGCAGTTGCGTAACAGCTAAGAGCTCTCCTATAGCCTCCACTAAATCCTACTGCACTGGATGAGAGCGTGTGACAGCAGAATCTGCATATTAACAAGCTGCACTGCACACATGAACATGACCTCCTCGTGCCAATTTCAACTTTGACCTTAACAAAGAGACAGTGAGTGAATCCACAACTGCCCAGTGAGCCTGAGGGAAGAACAACTGTGTTAGAGAAAAAGGCAAGGGAGGGGTAGGAGAGAGAAAGAGAGAGAGAGAGAGAGAGAGAGAGAGAGAGAATATTTGCTATGACAGCCAAGCAGGGCTTAGCTGGCAGCCTTAAAGAGACAATAAGTGTGTGTTCAGAAAGCCTTTTTCATTGTGTTGCTTTCACATTTGTCAAAAAAACAACACTTGTAACAACCATCAACACAAACAGAACCAATACAGACACAAAGACATACAAAGAGACACAAACACAGAGCGACAAAGATACAGGGAGGAGGATTACCTTCAGTTTTTGGTTCTCCGAAGGCTGTTTCCAAAGGAGGCCCAAATAAGGCGGTGGTGTCTTCAGGGAATGGAGTTTGTTGACTGCTGTAGCACACAAAGGACCATATGAAAAGAAGTTGTATGACAAAACCTTTCCAGAAGGTCATTTTAGGAAACAGCTACACCGTACAAATCATATATCATCAGCTATAACTTCTCATCTGTTCATGCTACAGGTAGAATGCATGCATTAACACATACATATCCAACTTGGTATTTGGATTTGGAACAAATTGGAACAATATTTTATCCCTAGATCCAAGATTAACCTTTTAAAACATCTGTTAATTTATATGGCTTTTGTAGAACAATTTACCAAACAGTATAGAGTCATAAAGTGCTTACTCTTACAGCAAATACAGATGTACCTAAAGCACTAAAATATTCACACTTTATGGCTGAATATACATGTTTTTCTACCTAATGTCTTCTTCGTTTTCATGGATTTTATGAATTTCTGTGTACTTAAATGTACTTGTTTTGTTTTAATTATTAGTTGCCAGACTTTGCGATTGTGTTAATGTTTTACTTTCCACAGTCCACACATTTTTTCAGTGTGTGGACTGCAGGAAGATTAACAACTGCTATGTCAGAAGCTAATGGGGTTTCAATAGTTATTAATTCAATAGTTAATTAAGATATGTAAATTATAAGGATTGTGCTGTGTTCAAAATAAGATGGAGTCTACAGGTAGCATTTAGTAATGTAAAGAGTGAGATCTAATGCAGAAAACTGACAAGTTGTTTAAACAATAAAAAAAACTAGCATTTTTAACACACCAAAATAAATATGAGGAGGAACTATGAATACAACTATACACACTTTTTTTTAAAGTATTCATACTAAAAGAACATGTGTTTAAGTTCTCACAGTACACAAAGCATCACAGTGTTGGTAGATAAACACAATGGCAGCTCTGCAGATTCACTGAAGCCTCAAGTGGCCCTCCAGCAAAATAAACATAAATTCTGTCACAAACGTCCTTTTAGTGGGATGGCAAAAGTTAGGCAACATCTTAACACAATTGTGTACGGTTTATAAACCATTATGTTAGAAGCACCACATAACATGTGTCTCAAAATCACAGCCTTTGGTTATTTCAAGAGTATTTTCCAAAGAAGTTTCCTTCTTTCCATGATGTCAAGGCCTGTTTAAGATGTATTGCTAATATACTTTTCAGTTAATACTAATAGTAACTTAACATCTCAGTTAGGGTTCTGATCAATGAAACCAAGCTACACAGCTGCAGCTGGTGTTCGAAAGCCTTGAGTTCATAGAAAAACCCAGTTATTAACAGGCGCACAAAGTTGTTGGTCCTCTGGTTGATGTGACTTAAATCCTCAGTTCATCTGACCATGATAGAATATATCATGGTGGGATGGACTGGCCAAACTCCCACAAAGCCCTAATGATGCTTGATTGTGACATTTAAAAACTCTACATTTTGTAACAGGTAATAAAATCAAAAAACGACACTTTTGATTAAAAAATAAAAACTATCATGCAGTTTCTAATTAAAATCAAGCTATGTGTAGCATGTTAATACCAATAAATTATTACATTTTGAGACTATGATTATTAAAACCTGCTGAGAACATCACCATAGTCATTACCTCTATTAGCTTGTACACAGCATTTTACACAATGTGCCAAAATAATGTATTACACAGTAATCCTCAACCTTCTCAGGGATCAGAGAGGTACATACCTGGGGGGTTGTGGTGCTGGAGCTGGTGTGGGGGCCACAGTAGGTACAGTAGGAATGACGCGTCTCGGTCTGGCAATCTCCTCACCTGGAATCATATTTAAATCTGTTCAACACATGTGACTCTTGCATCAAATTATCTGTAATTCAACATCATTAAAAATGAACCTGGCATAAGGTGCAACAAGACTGATACTCACTGGATGTGTTCCTTTTCAAACCCTGTAACATGAAACAAATGACAGTAAAATGTAAAAACCCAAAGACATAAAGAAAAAAAGAAGTCAACATTTAAGAGACACTAACAAGTGTGTCTCTGATACAACAGTGTCAAAATGTAAATATATAATAAAGGCTTGAAATACCTTTATTAGAAAGTAGACAGAAGAGACATAAGAGGAAATAAGGGGAGAAAGAAGCGGAATCGGTGACCTAACCCTAAGACCCCAAGCCACCCCAAAATGGAAATAATTTTTGCACTTGTTAACTAGTTACTTTGCACTCAATCTCGGAACCAATCGGCTTTCGGTGCTACCAGTGTAGCCAGCAGCTATCTGGGTAACAGATATCCGGGCCTAGACTACCTCTTGTTTATAGTCCGATTAGCAATCTTGGAATCCATTGGCTATCATCTGACAACAACTTAAATGCAGATTTAAAAAAAAAGCTAATAAAAAGCTAATCTGTAGAGACTGATCAAAAAAAGCTAAATCGCCATGATTGGTCAATACTACTCGTACTACAAAATCTCAGAGCGCTTCCAATACCAAAATCATGTCCCTTGCTTACAGATTCTGCATTCATGTGCAGATATTGGTTTACTTTGCACTTTTAGATCAAATTCAACAACAAACAGGTGCATATTAGTGGTCTTTCTTCTTCTAACAATCAGCGACAGTACATATTCATAGTAACTGCAAATCCTAGAGGTATACAATTGCAAGGGCTTATGCTGACCTGCATGACTGTGGTCACTTTAAAGACACTGTAAATTACATTTTGTATGCTTCATAAGTGATTCATTGAAGACTGCACATTGACTGAAACATGGCACAGAGTTCTAACAACTCACCTCAGCAACTACAATATATGTCAGGTGGAACAGCATAAATCTCTGCCATTAGGGATACATTTTAAGTTAAGGGGAGTAAAAGTTACTCCAATAAATAACTCCAAAATTCAAAACAAATAACAAATGTTAGTATCAGGTTAGAAAATGGCAACTTGATGAACAGCTGCTGCCTGCGGTGGAAATATTGGAAAGCTTTCAAAACATGCTTTTGAAGTCTTAAGATGCCACCCCTGGTACCAAGAGAAGGTGCGAGGCTAATTAAGTTGGAGCGTAAGAAAGTTAAAAGAGGGTAAAAACTGAGTTTTGTTGTTGGAGAGACAAAAGCACAGTAATATTGCCTCTCCGGCTGAGATCTTAAACACCCAGTTGTATACAAGCCTATGTATGAATTCTCCATGAGAGGGGCACAAGAGGCCAAGAATGGCAGAGGGCAGATAAGGAGAGAGAGGGAGGGGAGGGGGAGAGACTGGAGCAGATGAGATGAGAAGACACATCGATGGGGAGTGACTGAAGTAAGACATCAAAGGGTCCAGCTGTCAAAAGTGAAAATTTTCTACCACTACAGAGACCATGCACAAAGCTATTCAAGATGAAAAGTACACAAGCACACTAGTGGTCTTGTGAATCTGTAAAAAATACATTTATCTATTTGTTTAAATATTAATGTCAAAACAAATTAGCTAACAGTTTTGACCCATTGCCTCAGCCACTGAACCCACCTATGTATTTTCTGTTACACAACTGACTCCAACGACAAGGTGAGTAACAAAAGGCTACAGGAAGCATGTCACATATTTTAAGCCTGACCCCAGGGACATGGAAGAAAAGGACACTTACCGGGCTACGTCTCTGTGACCAGCAAAAAGGAAGAGAGAAGAGATACCTGGTCAGAGAGTGACAAATCAGTAAAGCAGACATCATATGCATCAAGAGAAGAAGGATTTTGGCCTGGCTGGTCAGATTTGGGGATGAGGATGACAATATGTTCATAAACAAGGTGCGTGTGTGTAAGGAATTGCTTGTGCAGACTTATGCTGGAGAATAAGGCAAGTGGGTATGAGGAAACAGCTGAGGATGACTTATTCAAATTGATCTGTGTGTTTGGATTTTTGCCTGCATCCCCTGAATCTCTAATGTCATCTATGAACCTGCTGTGACTGGACATCATCCAAAACATCTTGTAGAGCTGCTTAAATCGCTTCCCTCTCTTCCTCCCCTCATTTTTTTCCTTCAACTGTATCCGTCCCTATCCCATTATTTGATCTTTTTTCTTGTCATCTTTGCCATGTAATCCTATTGAATTTCCTTTCATTTTCCCCTGTAGTCTCCAATCTGCCCTCTTGGTTGCTTTAATTTCTACTGAAATCTCTCCATCTGCCTGCGTCACATCCACCTTGCATCAACTCTCTCTCCCTCCAACCCTCACTCTTGTGCTTGTTCCAGTTGTGCAGTGAGCCATGAGTGATTAAAATGATGCAACAAAGGGGTGGGGCATGCTGGTGGAAGGGATTCATTTCATTGGGTAAACTGGTGCAGGACACAGCGCAACACTGTCTGTCATAAGCAATCACAGTCTCTCTGCTGGATGTAAACAGGAAGAACATCAGGAAGTGTGCTGTGACCGTTCAGCCTCTGTCACGGATTAACAATGATCTTCAACACAGTTGTGTGCAGACATGCTTATGTTTATAATGGGCCACTCTGAACAATGGTGTGATATTTTTTAAAAATATATTATTTTTTTAATTAAATATTGCATCTTTGCATTTGGTGCTACATAGACTGAGTCACATTTGTACAGAGTCAGCTGGGCTTAAAAGTGACTGACTTCACCTGAGGGTGTGCAGTGGCTGGCTATACTAATTGTACACATTATGAAATATGAAGAATTCATCATAAAAGCAAGATTTTGTCTTCCAAATTAAGCATGTTTGGTTGAAAAGCAACAAGAAAGGACTAATGTGTGATTTAAGACTTCTTTTTACCTTTTAATTCCATCCCTGAGCTTTTTCTTGCATTCTCTACTGGTTTGCAGTCTTGTTATTTGTACTGAGAACCAGAAGCTCAAGACTCCAGAATCAATTAAATTAAGATTTAAGACGTCTTAGTCAGCGGAAACAACTTAAAAGACAGCGCCCTTGTACTCCAAGTAACTAGGCAAACAAATCAACATGTGCCAAAAAAATACTGAGCAGTCACACACATGCAGTCTAGTAATCTGCCTATATATAAACGCCACAATGAAAGAACCGAAAGAGAAATCACATAATATTGGCCATTTGCCCTGTACATGCTGGGCTAATTATAAAGCCTACAGTTATTACACACTGGCTTGATATCTTGCTTCATTTGTAGTTAGCCTATTTTCAGCAACACAGAGCAGATTGTGAGAAAATGCATTTATAAGCAGGCAACAAGGATTCAGAGGGATGAAAGTGTTAAAAAAACGACACATCACACAACTGCAGCAAAGCAAAGGCTTACCGGACTCCTCTACAGAGGTTAGCATCATTAGAGGCAGCAAAGGAATGAGATAAGAGAGAAATCAAAAGAGAGGGGCGAAATAGTTAGAAGACTAGAGGAGTTAAGTATATTGACACTAATGCAAAGCATCTGTGTACAATGTAGGCAGCCATCTACATCAACTGCAATCATTAATGCAGGCAGATAAAACCGTTGTAGTACTATGTCTCTTAACTGCATTCAGTCATCCCTCCACCTACACATTACCCACTATTCCTCCTAACATGATGTGAGCACCGAATCCTGGCTATGGTTTTATGTGAAATAAGCTGTTAACCACTGTGTCCCTCTCATAAGCTTGTGTACATATGAATAATTCATGCAGAATATGCCAAATATTACCATAGAAATTAAGGCCATCCAGTCTGCTAAATACAACACTTCGTATTTAGGTATGGATAGTACTTGGTATGTGTTTCATGCTGTCAAGGTTTTAAAAATGCTTTGTTATATTTACGTGCAGAAAACCAATGTCAAGAGCAAGGGCATTAGAATGTAGAGCCTCCGTTATTAGTCTAGAGAATCGCAAGGATATTCAAATGGCTGTGGGCAGTCTTGTTTTTGAAAATAAGAGCAAGTCATAAATGTTTTAGTCTGGGGATAAAGTTTTTCCTTGATTAGCTCAAGAAAAAGGAACAACCAGAATAAAAGTGGAAAGAAGCAGTGTTTGCTTCTGGAGGCCTGTTAACATTTGGCCCCTCTTCCTCTTTTCATCAGACCATTTTATTGTCAGTCCATAGCCAAGGTTACCCAGAGTTGCCAGGGACTGAAACCGACTGCGTGACTCATGTAATTTATGTGTGAGGGAAAAGCTCTGTCCAGGCAAACGGGATGCTAATTTGAACTGGTAGAGGTGAAGATGGCAGTTTCATAATCACAATTACAGGCCAGTAATTCCAATGTCATGAGTTTGGTTAACATTCAGGTGACTTGACTGCATAATATGAATTTCAAGATGAGTGAAAATTCAGATAACTTGTCCTGACCAAAAAAAAAAACGAGCATACACATCCTATGACTAACTGTAACACCACAATGCATAACACCAAAACCAAATGTTTCATATTACAAGGACTTTAATACAGATTGATCTTATTATTTAATGTTGTCCTTTACTTAATAAAATGTCATGAAATAGTGAGAAATGCCCATCAAAATTTCCCTGAGTCAAAGTTAATGTCTTCAAAATGCTTGGTTTGTCCAACCAAACTAAAACTAAAATATATCTAATTTACAATGATACAATACTAAGATGCAGCAAATTCTCAATTTTAAGAAGCCAGAACTAGCAAACTCTCCATTACTAGTTCATTTTTCTGAATACAGGATTTTAGCAATTTATTTATTAACAAAATTCTTGTTGATTAACTTTCTGTTGATCGACTTTATTGATCACTTCAGCGTCATATTTTTTAATGGATTGTCTACTACACATGTACATTAAACCATTATCAACATTTAAGGACTGCAGAACCAACAGACGCAGCAGGTGAACACACAGCAACTGGATTAAATTATTGATTCCAGAAGCTCAAATGACCACAAGCAATCTCGCTGTACAGCAGACCGACACACAGGTTCATTGTGCCCACTTTCCTACCTGAATTATTTAAGGCAGACACCCAAGCTATAGCTAACTACACTCACTGAAGAACATAGGAATTATGAGCAGCAGCTAGAAAGCAGGGGAAGCCAAAGCCTGTTTTGGAGTCCCAATGCTAAATACAGGCTGTCTAAAGGGGATGGTTTCTGTTGTTGTTGGGACAAACGGGAGAACAATGAGGTCACTGACCACGGATCAAGTATCACAAACTAACTATATGGATCATGTAAATCATATATCATCAGCATATAAATAAGACGACCTTGTGCACAGTGCAGAATGCAGAATGGTGGGCAAACATCACAACGTTGAAAAAAAAAAACACACTCACGGCCAATTTTGCAAATAAAAAAACATCTAACTCTACATGTTGAAAGGCAGTTAGACAGGATGACGATAAGACGCAGGATGTGATTCAGAAATGCACATTAAAAACATCTAAACACTAATACACAGCTGTCTGTTAATGAAAGCTGGCACTGAGAGAGGGCAGTGACGTCAGAGATACTCACCAGAGGAGAAGGGGACAAGGCTATGTTGCCTATGGAGGCTTTGAGCTCGTCGACTGAGGGCACTGACGCTACGCGATCGGCTGGCAGCGGCTTGATCTTAATTTTGAATTTTTTCCTGTGGTCTTCCTCTCCTTCGGACTCATCAGAGGAAAAGAAGTGGGCCTTTTTGGTAATAGGAGGTAGCACGGCGTCAAGGAAAGCAACTACATCCCTGGTGAAACTAGCTTTACTACCTTGGTGACTGCCTTAAAATCTCTAAAACTTGCCTTTTGTGATATTGCCCTAACTGTTAAAAAAAAACTTAAATTAGTACTTGTCAGTACTTCTGGATCATTTTGCCTTGTTCCAAATTAATATGGTACATACTTCAAACCATTTAAATGTGTAGTGTTTTAATTTTTGTTTTACTGCTATAGAAACAAAAATAATCTGCATGGCTGATAAAGTAGGTACCAAGTGAAACCTAAATTACTTGTAAATGAATTGACGGTTAAGGAAGCCATGACTTAATACAAATGTCAGCTTAAATTTGGTGCCTCTGGATGAGGGTGCACGTTCCTCTAAATAAGATCAAATCTTCAACCTACGGAGAAGGTAGGTTATCACCATCATAAGAAATGGTCACAGAGAAGAAAACAGAGCACCGCTTCTCTGCAACTTCCTTTCACGTCTGGTGCATTAATGACTCATTCTTCTGTAGCTGTGTTATGTGCAGCACCTTATAACCTTTATTTACATCTTTGTTAATTGGGTGCTTGTACTCTTTGTTAAGCAGTTGACGCACTCTATCGTCATTGTACATTAAGTGGAATTTTCGGTAAAAGTACATTTGTTTATATAGATTTGTTTCCACTGATTTGGCAGATGTAACAGACTTTCAGTAGAGGATGAAGTACATTCCCATGTGAATGACATTCACTGCACAAACTGATCTCCTATCATATGTATGTACCAATTGAACAAATCCTGCAATAACTTGGCAGAGATAAAACAAGATAAATTAATACTGTTAAATGACAAATTAAGCAGTGCTGAGGATATCTCCCTCTTCTGACTCCTCTTCAGGTCTGATGCTGTAGCCCTCATCATCCACCTCAGGGGAGTTCTGAAACACAGAGTGACTCAGTATAAATATCTTTAAATGTCGCTGTATGTGAATAAAATGCCAACAGAGAAATGGCAGTTGGTTCAAGAGTATCAAAGGTTAATTGAGCTACACATCTACATGCTTAATGAAATATGACTAAATGCATATTGACAAAGTCATAATCTGGATGTAAAATGTAAGCAATTGTAAATAATTGTTAAAACCATGAACTGTGATCTGTGTTCATTTTTAACATGCTTTGTCCACAAATTTGCCAGCAGCACATTGATTTTACAATAACATGGATCAATACTGTAAGTTCATTTAATGCAGATGAAAACAAAGCAGCATTGAGTTGGAGCGGACCAAGAGGAATAAAATAATAATCCTACATTCAAACCTTTACTTACATATCTGTCCCAGTCGATATCTCCGTAAAAGCCGTTTGGGGCCCCGTTAGTCTTCTTCTGAGACTGAGAAGAGACAGTTTGATTAAAATCCCACCAGACAGTGATGTTGCAGTATATTGTACACTACTGTGCTACCACTGGATGTGTCTCTACGTTAGAACTATGGTGCAGCTAATTCTGCCCAATAAACCTTGATCTTTTGTATTCTGGATGACATGTCATGTGAGACTGACCCAAAATTTCCCATTTTCCTCTTACAGACCCTAATTTGTTTTCCGTTTTGTCCTCTTTCACATTTGCAAATCCTAGTGTAGTGGTCAACATAATCTAATCTTGAAATCGTGTGTGTGTTTTCTGCAACTCAGAATGAATCTAATAGTGATGATTATTATTGTAATTATCCAACAGTGCCGGATAATATTTCAAGATTTAGGTCTCTTCAAGCTACCCCAAAGGACTCAGGGGGATATTCTGTTGCCCTGTTTGTGTGTTTTCTCAAAGCCTCCTCAGAGAGCCTGCTAATGAAAGGAAAGCTGAAACAGTAACACTGGCAGCTGACTGTTGAGTTGAAGAACATACTGTAATGTCTAATCAGTCTAAGCTCTAGTCAAGCTATTCTAGAGGTTAGTCCACTCCAACGGACTAGAATATAGAGTTCAGTACCGATTCAACCTCTGGGGGTTCCTGGCGAGCAAAAGAGCACAGAAAATAAATAATTTACCTCAAAATCACTAGACATGGTTGTCTCCAGTCATACAGATGTTGAGTGAATAGCAATTTACAAATGCAATAATTGGCTGCTGCATATTAAATATATTCTGATACTTACACCTCCATCTCTGTCTGGGGACCCTCTGTAAGAATTTAAAGAAGAAGAGAGAAGAAAAGAGAAAATGGAAGTCACTTAACATGTGAGCTCTTCATTTTGAAATCTTTGCTAGCTTTGCTAATTAGTCGAGCCGAAATATTTTAAAAGGGATATTCAAGGAAAAGCTTTTCAACACCACCATACCCACACACTTATTCACTCATAAATCACACTATCACAGACAATAGAGCACAAAAACCTTTTACAGTAACTCTAAGTGACTCATGCACAGTTACAAATCGGTTAAATGCCCCTGGAAAGCTATCACACTTGCAAAGATTCTGCAAGCTGACCAAGTACTTCATAAGTGATCTAATTGGTCTTTTAAGTGTTATTTTGCTGTATTTGCACACAGTTTGGAAACATAATTTTAGGACATTTCTGTGATATCATGGCAATGTCACAAGCACTGGATATTTTAAGTATGCCCAGTATTTTGCAGATTCATAATAACATGTCAAATAGGATTCATACTGGCAGTTTAACAGATCCATTAATACAATACACAATATACCACTGTGGCTCATAATTGACTGGTAGACTCTATATCTGTGCATGAGTAATGGAAGCAGCAGTCTAACATTTATTTGACAAGACGTCCACTTAATACTAATCCTGTAATTGTTCTAACCTATTCTAATCCTTTCATTTTACTGTAATGTATATGCATGACCTGCTGCCACATATCAATTTTTCTTATAATAATTCCCTCCAATTCAGAGGTTTCAGCCAGCTCTATGCTCCACTGCTCAGGATCATTGTGAATACTTTCAGTGGAACAACTAATATGCTTTATGTTTACAGTACACCAGGAAGGAAAATCAGGACTTACGCAGAGTCATTGTCCTTCTCTTTCTTCCGTATCCCAAAGGCCTTCCTGGTACGTTTTTTCAATCCTGAGGAGAAAGAAGAGCAAAAGGGTGAATTATTGCATGAAGAGACATCAAAGGCATGACTAAAAGGTGGCATCTGTGGGTGGGTTAAAGGGTCGGTGGAGTCAGCTTTCTTTCCTGCATCCATCATCCAGGAGATCAAACGTGATATTTTTTATGTATTACTAAGTAAGTTAGTCATACATGTCAAAGTCAAGAGCAGGTCTCAAGTCTTAACCTTCAAGTCTCAAGCAAGTCCCAAGTTACTGTGATCAAAGTCAAGCAAGTCCCAAGTCAAGTCATATGAAATTCTTAAGAATTCAGTTTGTTTAAACAGTTTAAGAGAGGTGGCAATTCAACTGTATGATCATTTTGGAAGATGCAATAAGTGTTTCTGTTCTAACAATACTGAACTATACACAAAGGTGTTTCTATTATTTAGTCTACTATTGGCTTCACTGATTATTAAAATGGGGTAGAAAAATTTAGTAATAGAAACATGTGTGAGTAACGGTAAGCTCTTACCTTTCCTGTAAAAATTGTTTTGAACACCTATTCAAGGCATATCCAAAGTTAATTGAATGTAGTTCTTGAATGATTTGGAGTAAATGCATGGTTTTGGGGCTTCTCTGAAAGATAATACTCTGACTCCCTTGGCGGCAAGGGGCTGCTTCTGCATCACGCTGTAGATTGACGTGTTTTTTTGCTGGTAGATCATGAACTTCCTACTTAAAGGTGGATATCGTTATTTTCAGAAATTTATTGGCTACACAAAGTGCCAGTCATCGGCAGCGCAGGCTCTTGTTGGTTGTGAAAGGGCCATGTGAGCTCTTATTGGGTCCAATTAGCTGTCAGTCAAAAGATCAGAGTTCAGCGACTAATTTGAATACAAGTTATTGCATTTGTTTACATCCAAATTGGAGTCATTAAGGTTATGATGACATATTAGCCACGTTTGCTGGAAAATATGAAATGATGCAGCAGCAGTCCTTGGGGATTTATTGATGGAATAATGTGTTTTGGACTAAATATTTTTACTGGATTTGATCGTCTGGATCTTTGAAAATGTAACAAGACCATTTTTTGGAGAATATAATCGATTGGTGGATTAAGTTACTATGAGGCTTCTAAGGTGAGTCACGTCAATTTTGATTATACTGGTTGGTCTGACAGAGGCACTGATTGTACCCGCTGTTGTGACTGTATCTTGAAATGTTTAGCACTGGTTGAATCACAAGGATTTTAGCTTTTAGTGTATCATATAGCAGTTGTGGGCACATAACGAGAGCTGTCATCAGGACCTGTTACCACCAGGAATGTTAAGAGGTTTTCACATAAAGTTAACGTTACAGCAGCACCAAAATGCAGCCAAACAACTGGGTGTAGCTTAAACTTAACGCTAGCTTTCATTGCATTCGACCAGCCTATACGTTAGCTAAAAAGCCACAGTCATGTAACTAACATACCTTTCTTTATAGGTTCTATATTGACGAATGAATTAGGATGTTGTGGTGGTTGTGTCACTGATTTTTGAGCTGCAGACCTTGCACACCGCTGTTCTTTTCAACATAATCCTTGAATGTCTGTGTTGTACTACATGTAACGGTCTTTTTCTACGCCACTGTTAGGAGATCCGGACCGTTAACATAATGTGAAGCACACGTGGTTGCAGGATTATGCGCAAATGTTGGAATGAGCGAATGCAAGTATTTATTAAAAAAATCAAGTCATTTTCAAGTCTGAAGTAAATCAAGTCTCAAGTCGTGAACACCAAGTCAAAGTCAAGTCAAGTCTTTTGTCTGTTTTAGTCAAGCAAGTCTCAAGACTTCAAATTTGCGACTCGAGTCCTCCACCTCTGGTAAACACTGTCTTTCAGAACTAAAAATGTGTTCATGGTCAGTGCAGATGGGCAGAAAGCCTTGCCATCCTCAAGGCATCTTTTTTGGAAAGGAAAATGCATTAGCACTGCGGAAATCAATGCGCCAGGAATTTAAAAAACTATATCTTAGAGAGCTGTGGAGAGGAACCTACTGTAGGTCACAGAGCTGATAATATACAAAACTTTAATCCAAAATGCTACATAAAGCTTTCAAGACTCTTAACGATCGCCAGTTTGAATTGCTGGACAAACTTTGAAAAACTCAGCTAAGGAATGATGCTCACTGTTGCTACACATTTACTGTGTACATGACAGTATGGCTTTGAGTATGGCTGCTCTAATGAAGCTGCTCACTCACCAACAATACAACTGATGACTATATTGTTAAAGCAACACGTGTGAGTGTGCGTTCTAGCCTTAAGAAAATTTTCTATATCTTTTGGACAAAAATATCTTAAATGCAAACTTTGGACCTTGAAACAGACATCTACTTTTCTCCCCTTTAAAGAAAGTGGATAGAATTCTCATCCAAACCGAGTGCCAGACAAAAGCAGCATACATGGGAAAAGGACAAGTAGTCCCTCCACACATGGAACACTGCAACCTCCTAAAAGTGTAATGATGCAACATTTCATCATAAATTATGATGAAATGTTGTATCAACAAACAAACAAACTATTGACCGGACTGGCGGACTGGTTTGTGTGTTCAAGCTGTCCATGTGATCTTTAACAACAACTCAAGCTCAGGATGTACTCTGGACCGAATTAACAACAGAAGTTTACAACAAGTGGTTTACACAAAATCATCCTAAATAGCATTGTATTAAACTAGAACTTTACACTATGCCTTACTCATAATATTGATCAATTCATTTCTTCATTGCTTTATTTTTCAGTATCTTCCCCTTTCCTTTCATTCACACATTTTGAGTGGAATCCAATCATCTTCTTCCTTTAGGGGAAACAAACACATCTCTAAAGCTTGTGGCTTCTTCTTACCCCAGATGAACGCCCAGTTGTCCCCCTCCATTTCTTTTCTGATAATTCCTTTTCTCTCATTCTTCCTCGTCTTTGTCTCGTTGTGAACTTTTCACATCATCTCATCTACTTCGTCCTGATACCACAAGCAGGTACACGAGTATCAGAGCAGGAACCTGATGCTCCCTCTCGCTAACCAAACACACACACACACGGTATCATGATCACGTTGTTGATCTGTGTCTGGTACTCAAATTCAACACCAGTGAATCCACTCATGAATTAAAGACAAATGTCATCATTTGTAACATTTCATACAATTTCTTTACCCCCCCCCCCCCCCCCCCCCGACCGACCCAAAGAACTGAAGGTTTCATTTTTGTGAAGCCAGACTAAACATTACATTCAGTGTCTTGACAGTTCCTCTCTCACTGATCTTGGTGAGGCATTTGTTGGAGGTCTCAGTATGAGGACGCAGTGTGCTCTCTAAGCCACGCTTAAGGCTATAGATGGAGGACGCTTTAATTGTTCCAACAGCTGTTCCAAAAATCAGCAAAGTTTCAACTCTTAAGTGAAAGCAACTTTAGTTTCTTTTTGAATCTCTGCTGAGTACATTCTCTCAACTGCTGCTTCAATTTTTTATTTTTTTGCCTTTATTAGATAAGACAGTGGATAGAGCGAAAAGAGGGGGAGAGATAGGGGGCGACACGCAGCAAAGGTCCGCAGGCTAGATTTGAACCTGGGCCGTTGCAGTTAAGGACTCAGCCTTGTACAAGGGGCGCTCACTGGGAGCTAACTGCACCCCTTGCTGCTTCAATTTTCCCCAGGTTTAGTGCTACCTGTTAATTCAATGTCAAAATCTGGTTGTATAATTATCCTCCATGATACTGCCAGCTGGGAAGGCCTGGTTTTCTTCATTCTCTTAAAGCAGCTTGCACAACGCTAGCATCTTTAGTTTCACTTTGGCATCATCAAGGCACACGAACTTGAATTATTCTTTAAGATTATCAGTCTTGTCTGTTTTTAAACTGCACTTGCTGCATTTAATCCAATTTGTCAGAAGTACATTTCTTTACGCTGCCATCTTGTTTCAAGCTAACGTTGATGTCTTCAATAAATAACTTTATATATTTCTAGTCCCTCTGTTGGGCCCTCTTCATTTTCTTTCCTTAGGTCTGTTTCCCTCTCCTATAAATCCAGCATTGCCCCTAAGGAAGAGCTGACAGGTTTACAGCTGTGCTAAAGAGTTTTGTATGTGTGTGTGTGTGTGTTCAGAAGTTTCAGTGTGCACATTGCAGCTGTACCCGGGCTACAAAAAGTCAGCATTTCTGAATTACATGAGATTAAATCTGTGCTATTATTTCACTTCATTTTATTTTTATAATCTTAACCTTTTGCGTTCCTTGTTTTCATTTATTTAATTTCTGTCTTTAATTTTATTGTCTTGTTGAGTATTATTTTAAGAAAATTAAAAGACCAAAACAACCACTGGCTTGTGGCAAAAATTATGGTGAAATCAGGTATAGATTTACAGCCACATATACCCTTGAGATCTTGCCTTTTGGCACATCTGTTCTCAAGCTGCACTTTTAGTAAGTCATGAGTGTGAGGTCCCTATTGAAACTGTAAAGATTATTAGGGCCTGAGCATGAACCGTGCGAGGTCCCTATTGAAACTGTAAGGATTTTTTTTTTCTTTTTTCTGCAAAGTAAGCTCAATTTTGGGGGCCTAAACATACTCGAAAACTCACCAAACTTTGCACACATGTCAGAAGTGGTGAAAAATTTCGTATTTTATGGGTTTCGCACATGGGCGTGGCAAAATGACTCGCTAGCGCCACCTAGAAAATTGGAAAAAATTAGCCCCTCGTCCTCGTCCACGTCCAACCTACATGCACGAAATGTTCAGGGGACATGTATCATATCAAGACGCACAAAAAAGGCTCAAGAACCCATACCCTAAACTCAACAGGAAGTCGGCCATTTTGAGTTTTATGGCAATTTTTGGATGATTTACATATTCCGTACATTAACGAATTCCTCCTAGGGATTTAGGCGGATCGATTTCAAATTTCTGCTGTGCCTTCTAAAGGCATTGATGATGAAAAATTGTGCTATCTGTGAGTTTTCGTCAATGGGTGTGTCCGTGGCGTGGTGTCAAAGATCAACTCTTCACCATGACACAGGAAGTTGTTGTAATTTCAGTACACATGCTCATATCTGAACAAAATTTTACGTGCTTGATAACTGTTCCAACCCGTAAACATCCACACGGCAATATTAATTTATATTCATACCGCCAGGTGCTATGTAGCACCACAAAGGGGACACAGGAAGGGACATATAACACCTTCATGCAGCGTCGGAAGCGCGTAGCAAATTCACAGCCGCACCGGCAGAGCTCCAGAATATGCAACGCGGTCGGCTCACACCCGGTCGTGCTACAAGTGTGAGGGCCCGCCCAACGCTGCTTGCAGCTTTAATTTTCTTTTTTATTTGATACAAAGTATCAATAACCAAAAGAGGGGAAGCTTCAGATCATTCAAAGGTTTTTAATCTTGCTCATACAAACAGTTCAAACACACACAAAGAGTGGAAGAGATACTAAGATAAAGAAATTGTATTCACACATTATTCAACTGACCAGCGTAAGTGAATAATAATGCAATAAATTACTATTCTATGTTTACAGTACAGCAGGACCTAAATCTGACTGGATGACATTAATGTGAAAGAATACATGAATGCGTATGGCAGGAGTTAATTAACAGAGAGGGAAATAACAGAGTGTGTGGTACAATGACTTAATGGCTTCCGTTCAGAGGGATGCTAGCACAAGTGCTAACGTAATTAGTGGTTCTCAAGACACAGTAATGTAATTCTGGGAAAAGCCAAAGGACATGAAGCCAGACAGGACAGGACACTGCCAAACTTTAAAAAAAACAAACATGACAACTGAAGCGCAGTGGTCAGAGCTAGACATTCCAAAAACTTGCTCTGGGAAGCACCTATGGAAAAAACACAAAGCCATTTTTCGCCCCCTTGTGTGTCTGTGGGTCTCAACAGTAATTTCAGTTATTTTTAAAGTAATGTTTATCTGGTCTCTGAAAAGAGTTTGGAATCTATGGTTCAGGATAATTTTATGGGGTGTTAAGCTAACTTTAGAAAGGGTCCCATGACGTGAAAACATACTCACAATAGGAGGAACACCACCCAGAGCTGCAAAGAGAGCTGTGTTATTATTATAACTCTGAGAGTTATAATCCACCCTTCAACCTACCGGAAGAGGTTGGCACTAACACTGCCTTTACTAAAAAGAACCATCTTGAAACACAGCAATTATACCTTTCTCCTTTTATTAACTCGAGTGCATGTGCATGTGAGCTCATGATGAGCTTTTACCAAAATAATTTAGATTTACACCTGGGACACACATTCTGCATGTCAGTGGCTTTTACAAACTGAAGTTCAGTGTCACTTGGACATATGTTTTTGAGGGAAGAACAATACTCATTCAATTTCCAGCTCAGACATTTCCAGAAAGTGAGCCTGAGAAACTTTGAAAGCACTCCTCTAATTCCACAGCTATCTAGAAAATACTTTAAATATTAATACAGCTAAGCCAGTTTATGCAGGTCAACCTAACACATTCAGTTTCCCACTATGGGTAGCATGTCCATCTGTGCAAGTTAGTTAATTCTGTCCTTAAAGATCATCTCATGAATAAAGCAGCAGTTGGTTATTTTTTTCTCATCTACAGGCAAACACAACCCAACACAGCAACGAGATGCATGGATTTGATTTTCGAGGTAAACATCTCAAATTTTAGTAATTGTTATTTCAATGAATCTATATGCCCATTTCAGGAAAATAAGTAAACATTGTTTTAAATCTAGTCTTAAACTAAGAGTTGCGATTGCGTCTGTGCACTACACCTTTGTGAGTTGTGATTTCCTGTGGGCTTGAATATGCCTTCTGCTGTTAGGAGTTTCTGTTGCATTAGCCCCAGTTATATTAGCAATATAGAGTCAAAGAACTAAACTGGAAGGGACACCATACTCCACACACACACACACACACACACACACATGTAAATCACACACAGTTGCAAATATATACTAAAGCAAACACACCCACAAAGCACACTTTTTTAAAGTAAAGCTCTACTTCAGGGCAGGCGGAGCAGAGGATGTTTAACAAGCTGTTCCAAAGGGGGAAGAGGTGAAGAGGCTAACCAACAAAACACACACCCACACACACAGCTTGTGCTGCCAGCCACAGCTGAGCAGACCAGGCCAGGCCACTCCAAATTCTGGATGGGAGACCTGTGCTGCTCTGCATAGTAAGTAGAAAGGACAATAATACACCATTGAGATCTAGAAGCAGAAGTGTAAGATGGTTTTGGTAAAAAAATTCTGATTCTGTTTATGGCTTTTAAATACTAATTTAGATATGAGAGCATTAACAAAATTTCTTAAAGTCTCATTTGTTGCTTCTTCATTATAAGTGATCATCTAGGAAAAAAAGCCAATCATATTTTCTAAATCTAATTTCAGTGCCTGTATAATGTATATTTATTAAGACAAAGCATGCTAGTGTTTATACTACCGTGTAGTATGCATGTCACAGCATGCTCAGGTGGGAGAATGGCATATGAGAATTAAAGTGTGAAGACGGTGCGTTGGGTTGTTGTGGGTATTGAGTCAAGCTGTTGACTAAGCACAAAGAGTAGCATGTGGATCCACTGACAGGCAGGCAAACAGGTTAGTAGACAAGGAGACAAGTAAATAGTGGAACAGGTAGGCTGGAAGGAACTTAAACAAGCAGACAGAAAAAAAACCTGCAGACAGACAGGTTGTAAGAAACAGTAGCAAAAGAAAAAGTAGACAAGGAGACAGCCAGCACAGAAACAGGCAAGCAAGCAGGCAGGCAGGCAGGCAGGCAGGCAGGCAGGCAGACTGACATACAGAAGACAACCAGAGAGATAGACAGGCATATTGCAAACAGGAGATTTAAAAGGCTCTTTGGAGTGACTCATCCATCCCTCCTGGCCCTGAGAGGCAGGAGGAGGAGTACGTAGGTGAGAACAGAAAATCTGCTCAAGACTGGCAGATACACTCACAATGACCTCGCAATGCAGCAATAATGCTGTGGCAGAAAAAAAATGCTCTAATATCATGAGGGGTCACATGACGTGTCGCTGTGTGAACGCATCCTCCATTTTATTTGATGCACAGTTTTTGCTGCATGGAGCTGGAAATGTGATCAGGAGTCTCAAAACTGCATCGTAAAAAAAATAAAATAAAAAAGTAATAAATAAAATAAAAGAGAGAGAAAAAGGCAGAGCAGAGGAGACTGAAGATAGATGCAATGATTTACTGAGGATGTGCTGACAAAAACCACATCAACCTTTAAATATGAAGCAGCGTGCCTTAAGATAGCGTATGTAGAGAGATGTCAACTAATTCCAGAGGCTATAAGATTTGCACTTGTTGGTCACTGCATATATCTACTGGCACAGGAAGGTAGAAATTCTCCCCCAAATACATTTCCCCTGCTACTCTCAGGACTTAAGTCGCCACATCTCTAACTTTCCTGCCTCTAACCCAAAGATGGAGGAAGAATCTGACAGAAGAGGCCAAGGGGAGAGAAGCTGTCTGGAAATGCCCCCGCCCCCTTCTCATTACCTGGCAGCACAAACAGAAGGCCAGAGGACCATGGCATAAGAAAACCTCTAAAAATGGCCCCCGAAGGCCATCACCTTCAGCCTCACTGTGTGTTTCAGTGAAAGGGCCTGTGTCAGTGTGGAATAGGAAAGACAAAGAGACGGTGTCAGTTTGCGTTTGTGCCTGCGGATGCTAAAATTAGGCCTTGACTGTACTGTCCAGGTGGCTGCACAGTGAGCTATCAACTGTAACACTTGGGTAACAACGCACCCGAGACATACACAAACACACACACATTAAAAACTGGATGGTGCATGTCTGTTTTTGTTGCACGGCTGCACCATTACAAAAAAAGAGGTTTCAACGAGTGACGTCACCCACCTCCAAGAAAAGTGGGTCAGGGCCAGAAACCAAATAGCAGCATGCCAGCAGTTAGTGCGGAGATGAACAAAAGATGTTTGAGAATGCCAGGATAGTGGTGATGCATCCATCTGTGCACTTGCTGTATTTCTACTCTGTATCTAATATCAGTTATTTATGTTTATATTGATATGGATGGAAAAATAAACATAAGCATTTAATGGACAGGCTAGGGCAGCATAATTGATTTGATTAATCAATTAATAATTTTGTAATTATTATTATTATGTAAAAACAGCCATCAGTTTCACAGAGCCCAAGTAGTCTTCAAAGTGCTTGTTTTGTCTGATTATGACATAAAACAGTTGTTCAGCAACAAGCTTGATTATTGATTAAATCACTTTCCAAATGTGTTTTTCTATGACAGTAAACTGTATAATACCCAAATCATTTCAGTTCTACGACAGACAAATGCTACATATTATAGCATTAGGTGTAAGATCATTTGCAGCACTCATATGGCCATCTCTTCTTCCACCCCATCACTGTTCTTCTCCCCCCCCCCCCCCCCCCAGTCTCTCTCACTCCTGTCTCTATAAACAGCCAGCACTCATGGCTCCCGGTCTCCAAATAGCACCCACCAAGGACTGTGTGGTAAATGATCCTGCTGCAAAGCCATCAAAGTGGCTTTTAACATGGATTTTCGGCACAAATACACAGGGAGAAGATGTATTTTGCACCAGTCTGTCCATTTACTGACACAAGACTTTTGTTGATCAGAGAGGCAGAACCAAGTGCCCCCCTCCGCCTCTGGCTGGGGCTCACAGCGCTCCTGCTCATGTCATATTCTGATACTTGCACAATTTCCAACAAAGTCTGCTTGTTCCATATATACAGCAAATTAATGGTTATTTCTTACAAGATAATGTGATTCATAATGAAGTTTGATGTTCAATATGTGACTGTTTGCAAGATTCAATTAAAGTTACATGCTGTGAAAGTTTAAGTATCTCTCTCAAAGCATTAACAAATCACAAATGGGATTTTAAGCTCTTGAGAATCAGCAGGGTTCATTGCTCTAAGCTCTTTTTTAAAACACTCATACTTCATTGTTTTGCCATTTATATTGCTGTCTTTTCACCATCGACAGACACTGGAAGTAGTTTGAAGTTTCCTAACTGCAGCTCTGATGTAAAACAACATCTTGAGCGTGACCTATAGTTGGTAGGCAACAGTTTTTTATCCAAGTAAAAAGTGTTGCCAGACTACAGTTGTCAAAAGCCCTGCTAGGCCCCCGACTCTCCCCTGGAAAAAAATCCCCAGCTATTTCAGTCATGTCTTCCTATCAAAACAGATCACCACAGCTGCCACTAAGGCGAAAAAACAAAAAGTAGAAATCCTCCATTCTTCTTTCTTCCACACAGAAATGTCATTCGCAGCCACCCAGCTGAGTCCCATTACCATAGGAAGATGAAATACCAAGTGGAGAAAAATATCCTCTTTTCCCAATTTATGCATGCTGCATTTCATTGCTACAGTTACCTGGCGCATTGACTTAACTGTAGAGTGACATTCAACAATCAGTTCAGCTAGAGCACCAGTTATTCCAAGGACGCTGGGGAAAAGTAAAGCCATCAGTCTTATTTGGGTGTCTTTTAGCAAATGTAGGCGCGCTGTGCACATCAGCCTCCCTCACCGGCATGCTGTGTGCTCACTAAATAGGCCTTCTGTTCCTCACTCCTCCTGATAATAGTTCTACTCTTATTCTGATTTTCATAAAGCAATTACACCGCATAATACTTGAATGAATTATAAAATGGCACAACAAAGCTACAGATGTGTATAGTGTGTGTAGTGTATTTAAAGATACATTTGGAATTAACTAACTAACTAAATACACACCCATTCCTGCACAAACCAACATACTGAACAGAATAGAAAAACATTAGTGAGACTGATGTGCTAGTTGAATGCATGATAACAACCTGAAGATCAGCTACCTAAAGAGAATTGGACAGAAATATTTTCTCGCCTCATTTCATAGCTCCTTTCGGGCAGTGAGGTCGCATATGACATCAGCTAGTGTGATATTGCCTTGTTGAGACAGCTCCACAGTCAAGTGGATTCGCCAGCCAACAGGGACCACGACAAGATCACCCTTTCCTCATTACATTGTCACATTTTTGTCCCTGCTTTCTAATCATCACTGTAGATACCACATTAATACACAGCAGTTCAGTATCAGGAAATGTGTTTTCTAAGACATGCTGTCATATGATGTAACACATCTACAAATCTATTACACAAGATATTATACAAGTACTTCATTGGGCTTCCATTCTGTTGAATTTCCTTCAGGCCACTGCAGCCTTGCCTTTCTGAAATGACTGAAAGCACACAAAGCCAACGTTACTAAAATGTCTGATATAAAATGTAATTTCCTGAGTACAGAACTTGTAACTAACAGGCAGAGATATCATGTGACAAAAGCACACTGCTGCTATGTTTATCATCATACAAGGCTGCTACATTGATTTCAATGAATGAATGCTCCATCTGCACTGAAATATCTGTTGACCTTCAAAGACACATGGCAAATTCAATTTCAATGTTTCTTCTTTCTGCTGTAGGTCCCTGCTTGTATTATGGCTCAGGACTAAAACAGCAAGGACCTGTATTATCACTACTCTCATTTATGTGAGGCTCAAAATAGACTTGATAATGAGTTCTCGTTGCCCCAGTCTGGCAGTTACAATCACATATTGATCAAGAGTCTCCTGGATGTAGTATTCTAAGGTGAAGCACAAAATATAATTTACACTGGATGGATAAGACAGCTACTTACAGGGAAGTACAGTACATGATAAGGAAAGGAGAAGCACACTGCTGCAAAATGGTTCAAATGAAGTCCAATTCAGACTGCAGAGTGCTATCAAATAAATATAAAATGTCTTATAATAAAAGTATAAAATATACATTATTCTATACAGAAATAATAAATAAAAAGATTAAAGATGCCAATATTGCAGTTTGCTACAGAAATGCAGCACAGCAAAACCAGTATAATCACCGTGAAACTAAAGATAAAAAAAGTAAAATGCAAGTTGCTCATACTGCCGATTTCACTGAGAAGCAACAACTCAGAATGTAGCTCTATGGTGCTCTCAGCCACATTTAACCCAGCATTTTGTTTTGCTCACGAACACCACCAAAATACTAATTCATATAAAACTGCTCACATCTGCTCTCAGCCCAGGGAGTCACATAAGCCAGTTGTACACTACCAACCTATCAAAAGACGGTGGGGAGTTGAAATAACTGGTGAACAAAGTCAAACATTCAAGTGTAAACAGGCCTTCTCTAGCTGTGACTTTATAAACACTTCTCTACTATCTCACTCATGTGCTGCTTTGCCAATGGACACAAACCTACTGTCTGGTAAAAGCATGTTGCCTGGTGCAGGCCTTGCCCTACCTTGCACAGTGTAATCTGCATGCAGTTTTAGTTAAGCAGTTTGCATTTTGTAATGTATACATTTCTTGTGTTATTTACATTTATCTTTATTCATGTATATTATGTTGATTTTATACAGAACCACTTTTTCACCATAGTGTGGTATATGAACATGGTTGTGGTGGTGGGAATAAAAGCATTGGGATTGAAGACATCTGCGCGGTTCTCATCACCTGCAGTGGGTTATTAATTAAGTGAATCCACCATAGAAACAGCAGGGAAGCTGCAACTTCCACTAGGATGTCCATGTGTTCTGTGCGCTCGCACTTACACAACCTGTAAGTAGGCAAGAATTTGCTGACATCTTAAGAAGTTGACACCAGGTAACACCAGTATAAAAGCACATTGCTGCAAGTTCTTCTGCCCATCATTTTCAGGCTTTTACTGCATTGTTTGCCCATGCATCTGATTATTCTGAAGACACAAACAATAAAGTTTGCATTAATTCACTGAGTGTATTCTAAGATTGTGGAAATTAAATATGCGAAACGCATAAAATGTTAATGACTCAACTGTCCAGAGATTTTAATATCAAATGCAATGATTCAAAATAATTGAGCCATAAGGCAAAAGACAGTGTGGGTGTACAATCAAGCATGATTCACAGATGAGAGGATGGATAATTTTTTATTCAAAACTGGAAGATCTGTGTTTGCAGTCTGAACTTTCCATTGTTTTAAGGAGGAGGAGGAGGAGGAGGGGGAGGAAGGATGGAGGGTCTGTGGTGAGAAAACATTTGACGCACACACATACATGCGTGTCTGCACCTGCATACATAACAAACACAAGCCCACATTTGATATGACTCACTGATGAATCAATTTTACAGAACAGACTGGCCAATAATGATTACAAATAAACAGCCACAGACATGAACAGCGCCCCTAGTGGCTGTTCACACACTTTCATAATGGAGGATGCTTATTACATCTTATAGTGTTGAAAAGATGTTTTTCCTGAGGGTGGTTGGTCCGTAGGTGCAAAAGGATAGGCAGTAAGGTCGCCAAAATTAAATACTGTATCTCCTTGACAGCATTGCTGTTGTCTGCAAATGGCAATCTTGCAAGATATTTGGTGCATGCTGTCATGATGAAGACCACTACTGAACATCAATTTGCAATGGCAACATGCGTATTAGATTAAGATATTTTTTGTGTTGTAGAAAAAGAATATTGCGATATATGAAAGGTCAAGGGGACACAGAAATCCTTTGGGTAAAATGAATATTCATACTAAATTTCAAGGTAATCTGGCTTGCAGTTTCTGAAATTGGCACTGTAACTAAGTGCTGAATGTACCTGACTGACCAACTGACCTTTCTGAGGCCTCACCACCACCGGTGCAATAAGACTAGGAGAAGGTAAATGCAAAGAGTTTGTGTTTGTATATTAAAGCTTCTTGTGAGTTTGTCGCAAAACACTGTGAAACCCCAGTGTAGTATTTGTGGACATATTAAGGATAGCAAACAGACTAAAACACACAATGGGGAGGGCAAGGAACATCAAACAATCCTCAGGAGATATTATAACTTACCAGCTTCAAGTTTGTTGTTATCAAGTAGCGCAAAGCTGTGACTTTAAAAGCATCAATTACATCAGTATTATGCTTAAATTTTTTTCTCATCAGTTACATTAGCATCTGACTTCAACCATAAACAGGAAGGGGTTCTGGATCAAACAGTTTAATTTATTTCCTGTGCAAATGGATCAACCTGATTAAATCCTCTCTCCACTAGGGCTGCAGCTAACGATGATCTTAGTACTTGAAGCTTCCACAGATTATTTAATCGTTTAAGAAGTACTTTTGCTTGGCAGCGGCGCAGGATCAGCTATTTAAGTTAATTCACGACTGTGACGTTACAACCCAAAGTCACAGCCCAACTTGACGGAGAACAACAAACGCATGCGTATACATTTACAGCTGAGGATTGCGGCTTACTTTTGCTAGCCTTTAACTAAACAATCAGTCATGATTTCAGTTAAATACTAAAGTTGCTGTTACTGTTAACTTGTCTGTGGTCCACTCCGTGGACTTGATGATAGACCAGGTGCTTTCTGATTAGATGCCGTTGTGCTGTTGCGGTAGGTGACATAAGTTTCGTTTTACAGTGGATGGACGGTAACATTACAGAGTTGTTGTTTTCTTTTAGCTTGAAATAATCCCATTCTTTGGACACTTTCTTCTTCGTCCCTAGCTATTTTCTCTCTCGTCCTCCACTTTGCAAACGGTGCCATCATAATCACGTCGTGTTCACACAGCGTAAGCGGGAAGTGTGACAGTGATAAATGTCCTTGCGAAACAGTGTGCTATATAGTTATATGGATTAAACGCAGCATCGCTGCTAAGAATTTGCGTCAATGTTTTTTAGTAATCGAATTAATTGATGAATTGTTTCAGCCCTACTCTCCACACATGCATACATGCCCATGTACTGCAGCACCTCTATGATAAACTGAACATGCGTTTGTGCACATTTGACGGCTTAAA